TAAAGCACTTTATATTCAAGTATATTGCATGTATGCTTTATATCTAGTGTCAGTGACTCTGCAGGCATATAGGCCCACAACTTTTGCCTTTCTCAATCTCTAACTCAAATAGTCAACTTTCCCACTCGCTTTCCAGACAACCTGAATCATTTACCTTCTTTATTGACATGGTCTTGTTTCTGATCCTAGTCAGTGCTCAGTTTCACCCTTATCCTAGCCAGTGCTCCACATTCACCCTTACGCGCTTCTGATCACGGTTTACCTCTTACAACAACCTTAAAGCTGACTGAGACTCTTTCTGTGATTTTCTTTGTGATGGCACTTGGGTAGATATCTTTCGTCTTCCTGCTGACAAATGTGCTTCTTACATAACTTCTTGGATTCAGACTGGCATGGACATTATTCTTTCTTGACAATTTTAATTCAGGCCTCACTCTCCTCCTCACATTGTGCTGCAACAATCTTCCAGAAATTCTCACAGCATTGTTCCTGAAATTCTTATCAGCAATGTTGGCTGATGATACTACCATTTATTCACTCTCTGATTGTTTGGAGGGGGCATTTGAGTTTAAAAAGGATCTCACTTCTGCTACAGCATGGAGCTCTCAGTTGCTGGTGAACTATAACTCAGATAAAATTTAATTTTTTTCAATTAATCCTTATCGCAATAATCTAAACCTTCCTCTATTTATGAATGGTAATGTATTCAATGAGTCATCTACCCTTCATAATCTAGGATTAACTCTTACTTGCGATCTTTCTTAGAAACCATATATCAAATCCATTGCAAAATTAACATCTGGTAAGGATGTATCTCTTTATCTTGCTCGACATTTTTTAACTTCAGATTTTATTCTTTATCTCTACAAAATATCAAATCAGTCCTTGTATGGAATACTGTTGCCATATCTGGGGTGGTACTTCCAATAATGCCTTTTCTCTTTTAGATAAGATGCAAAAATACATTCTTAGACATCTTTCAGCTGACCTCCAAACATCATTACATCGTCATGTTGCTTTTCTTTCTCTTTTCTATATATACTATAATGGGCCCTGCTCTGAAGAACTTGCATCTCTTGTGCCATCTACTAAAATTCATTTGTGTGTTACTTATCATTCAATTAAGCCTAGTCCTTTTACTGTGACTGTGTACTCCCTAAATTCTTATTTGTCTAGTTTTTTTCTTCGAACATCAGTTCTTTGGAATTCGCTTCTTTTATCTGGTTTTCCTGATTCATATAAATTTAAATCTTTTAAGTCATCTGTCAATCTTGCTCTACAAACTTCTTTTCTTTTCCAGTAACGTGATCAAAAGTACTTAAGAGTAAATGTGGAGAAACTGAGCACTGTCTAGGATCAGAAACGAGTAGAGAAAGTAAATGATTCAGATTGTCTGGAAAGCAAGTTGGAAAGTTGACTATTTGAAAAAATATAGAGTGAAGTGGTGCTAAACGAAAGCACATAAAATAATAGCCTGTGGATTCAAACCTAGTTTCACGACAAATGGGCGAATTTTTACAAATGCCCATGGCAAGCATGTGACTATTGGAGCCTTTACAAACTAAAAGAAGATCACCATTAACACTAAGATCACAAGATAAGACAGCCGAACTCAAATTAGTCTCACAACAAAACATTCAACAGAAGAAAAGTTACTTTAAAGACCATGTATATTAGTAAATGATTTAGAGAAGTTGGTGATGATGATGGTTTTTTATATTTTATAGTTTTTGCTACTTTAGTCATTTTTAAATAAATTAAAGAACTTGACTCAAGGCATAGATACTACTCAGTACACTATTTAATAGTACAAGCAATTGCCTCATTATTATTAATAAACCCTAAGTTGTAACAAAGAGCTCCAAATGTGACCTCAGGAATGCATACCAACAGTATAAACAGGGAACCATACATGCACAACATGGCACTATTAATACTCTGATATTTTACAGATGTTGTTGGAATCAACCTCTGAGAGCTACCACAAAGTTTGGGAAACCTGACTACCAGCTGGCTTCAGAACCATAAAAATGAGTTTTAGAGCTGTTTCCTCAATAGGAGAAAATACATAGACCATCCAGGTCATATTCTAAAAATCTGGAAATTTGTTTGGGTAAAATATTTGGAAAAAAACCGAAATATATTTTCCTCTTAAATTAGCTTTAGATGAGTTGTCTTTGATTATTTTTTCTATGTGATTTTGTATATATTTCTATGTGTATATATTACAAAAATATATACCTAAACTTGTATGTATGGAAAACGTTTTGGATATCCAGAAAATTATCCGGAATAAGATAATCCCAGATAATAGAATGAGTTGTCTAGTGATAAAAACAGAGACAAAAGCAAAACCCATGCATCGAGTCAAGAAGATCCAGCATTCAACATCCAAAACTGGAAACAATGTATTATAAATACATCTACACCAGCCTAACAGATGTCTTTAAAACTGATAAAAAAAGAGTAGCTTGCCTGACTACAATGATAAACAATGAAGGAAGGTTCTGCGGCAGAACCTTCCTAAAAGGAAGGTTCTGCGGCAGTTGGCTGAAGAGAATTTAATGGGTAGTTGTCAAACCCAAAAAACCAAGTTTGACTTAAGTTATGAAAAAAAAGCGACTGAAATTTAATAGAAGACCAGAATATGCCTAGTGAAAACTTGAGTAGAGTAAATATAAGAATTATAATATTTTAAGAACCCTGAACAATTATATATAATTATGGTAATATTTATAATTATGGTAATATTTATAATTATGGTAATATTTATAATTATGGTAATATTTATAATTATAGTAGTATTTATAATTATGGTAATATTTATAATTATGGTAAAATTTTCTTGGTCTGCTTTTTGGAGTCAACATTTCAAATTTTTTCGGACAAGTCCACATTTCAAAAGCTAATTTGTCAGATGACAAATTAACCTTTAAGAATTCAGGAGAAATAATCCACCAGGACTGCCATTTGGAAAATGTTGAATATCCTATGAGTGTTTTTGCATGATCTGTGATCTCATCCAATATATATACTTTTAAAGTTTTATTATTTAATCTTCTTTTTTTAATTGCTTTTTCATTTTTGTTTTATCAAATTATTTATTTAGGGATTAATGGAGAATGTTCACATTGACTAATCTAAATAGGTAAAAGTGAACATACATCAACTGAATTTAATAGGTGGAATATCCATGGAGTGTACTTACATTGACTGAAGTGTTGCTACATCGACTGAGGGTTTTGGTTTGGGTAGGCAACCTATTAATTTAAAGAAAAATCTTTTTTTTATTTTTAAACTTTTTCCGGTCTTTTATAAAACTTTATAAAAAAAAGCTTAATGTTGACATTTTATGGGAAAAATTAAAAGCGACCTGGCAATGGCATATACATATATAAATATATATACATGTATAAATCTACCTTACTTCAACTTACATCATCATTAATTCATCTTACATTTATCTTACAATATATGCATCTACCTAATCAGAAAATATGCGTATATTGTAAGACAAATGTAAGATGAAGTAATGATGATGTAAGATGATGTAATAATGATATAATAATGTAGTAATATTCTATGTAGTGCAAATAGCAGTGAATGGTAGAACAATAATACAAGTATGAAATAATAATGAACAATAAGTACAGAGCAAAATTCTATTACATCCATGTAGTACTCACTTAGTATGTTTTTCAGTGGAATTGTTTTGTTAAGTTTAAAAGTAATAGCCTGCTTAACTGTAATGGTTACTATAGTGACACCCTCATCCTTGGAGATGCAGAAATATATCAAAAAATATAAATTTAAATTATTAATCAACAAATATTAATAACCTTAGGAAGATCTTTTAAATAACGTTCTGTATCAATAATTAAGCGATCCCATAATGCACCTCTTGAACAATTACCAAAATAATTTTGAGACAGCAGCAACTCCAGCAATAAAACTGCCTCCAAATACTCTTGGCGTTTTTCAAGTAGTTCAACTGATTTACTACAAATACGAAACAATATCCATGGCTCTGAATAACAGGAAAGAAAATAGGGTAGTGAGAAACATCGAATAACCTAAAAAAGAACTTATATTATAAAGAACATGAAACAAATTTAAAAAATTTGTATTTTAACAACAAAAACCCAAAATAAAAAATAAGAGTATATATACTGAGTATATGACTGACTACTGACTGATTATATACTTAAGTGTATTTTTTGAAAAAGAAAAAAACGAAAAGCGATCTGCTTTTATAATTCCAGCTTTTAATAAGGTATTAAGTTGTTGCATTAAATTTGTCAATACATTTGTCATTGCATTAATGCATACAAAAACTTTAACTTTTAATAATCAAAATCTATTTTTAGGAAATATTTATAAAGTAGAAAAGAATTACAGTAGATATTTATAAAGAAGTACAGTAACTACATCAATACAGTATTTCAAAATTAAGTGGTTCATTAAAGAGTTTTGAGAAGCAAAATTCAAGTAGATAACATTTAGCATATCCTTCAATAGGATGAAACTGAATGTTGCAAAAGAAATATTTTTCGTAGATGAAGAGGATATCTTTAGAGGATGATCATAAAGCATTTAAAGAACAGAGAGCAACCCTATGAATCATATCTTATTGTGCAGACCTTGAATCTTTTATAATTTTATCAATCTTTGTATTTTTTTACTGTTATTAATGTAGATATAGCACACAATGGTCAGGAACCTAGAAAAGATTTAATAAAAATTTCAGCAAAAACTTTTGAATATACTTTTTTTTAGTTCAAAGCTAATCTTTTTTTTTTTTAATAACATTAGATAACCTCCATTCAATACTTTAGAGAAACATTGTAATCAATACTTTAGAAGAAATTGTAAGCAATACTTTGGCGTAATATTATAAGTAATGATATATGGTCATTTTTTCTAAAAAAGCCTATTTATGCAGGATTTTACCATATATGCTTCAATCGAAGGCCCATAAATATATAATATATATATATTAAATATATATTTTATTATGATATATAACTTAGAGTAAACTAATTAGTTTTATTTTGCATTATAAAAAGAGTTTTAATTAGCTGGTCATTAATACTATTGCTTAAAAATATAATCATGATAGATTTAAAACATAGGGTAGAATGTTTAGGAGAAGGTAGAAAATTAGTGTGACGGTTAATTGCTAAAACAATATTTTTTATTGAAAGTAACTGAACAATAGTTAATCCAAGGATTTTTAAAATGATATTATAATGAATATATACCAAGCCTTATTTAAAACAAAAATTTACCTAATAAATTGTAAATTTTTTAAATGTTAAGCTTTTGTTCCTAAAAACATGCATGTTACTATTTTAAATAAAACAAGAAAAGTTATACATTTAAGTTAGATAATTTAAATGCATTCATAAAAATATTTAAATGCATGAATCAGATTTTTTTGTTGTTGTTGTTTAAAATATTTTTCATGCTTTAAAATTATCTTTTTAAATAACTTGGAATTTTGATAGAAAAACAAAACTTTAGACAACAGCGACAAACTTCTTTTGTTAAGGGAACTTTATCTATTCATAACTTTTTTTATATAATTAAAATAGTTTTTTTTTTTTCTTTTTCCAGATATAGATTTATTAACAGAAACTTTTTCGTGTCTAGGGAATATCTGCTATGTCATTAGAAATACCCAAAAAAACTAAACAAAAGTTTTTCAACTTGATCATAGTGTTGGAAAAAATTGTTTTACTATTAAAACTAAACTACAGCAACAACTAAACAAAGTATGCACTGCTAATTAACTGCAAAGTATGCTAATTACCTGAAATGATTGGAAAAAAATTATAAACTGGAAAACATAATAGTATTTCGATTTTATAATTTTGTGATTATTTAAAAAAAATTGTTAATATTTTGATGGAAGTTTAAATAATAAAGCTAAATTATATGCAGATGACACAAAAGTGACAGCAAAAATAAAAACAAAAATTTGCATAATAAGACAACTTCAAGACAACTTAAATGGCTAATAATCTTTAATAGTGATAAATGCAAGATAATGCACATAGGTCATGATAACCCAAAAGAATAAATACACACTAAAATGCAATACTAAAGAATTAGGAACCTCTAGAAAAAATCTTAAAGTTAAATTAACTTTTGAGTTGTATAACTTAATTAGAAACTTGAACTGACATACTTTATTTTACTTTGTTATTTAAAACTTTATTTTTTAAATAATTTATTTCATTAGTTAAAAAAAATTAAAAATGGAATTTTTGTTCTCAAAGATTTCTTAATTTATGAAAGAATTTTAAATGATTTTTCTGCCCTTTTTTATACAATTATTGTATTTTTTTACTACTAAACATTGCAATATAGACATAAGGGAAAAGCTTGTTTATTTAATGTTTTAATAAAAGCTATTATTGATTTTTTTTGGATGTTATTAAATGTGAAATCGTGGTATGGATACTTTATAAAAGTTTTTTATTCCTGTGGTTTTCTGCCTCAAAGAATTTCTTCAAATATCAATAGAGCATTTAATCGTACAACCTCTGCTATTGCTTCTTCTACAGAAGTTAATAAAAAATTTTTATTTTATTGTTGCAATGTGTATAACAAGATATGTTTTTAATTGCACGATTGTGAGAGCAAGTAAAAATGATATTTTTTATAGTTTGAATCTTATTCAAACATTAAGAATATTTCTCAGAAATTTCTGAGATAAATAATAGTCTCTATACTATATGTAGAAATATTGTCAACACCTCCAAATATGTTTTAATCAACACCTCCAAATATGTTTTAATTAACACCTCCAAATATACCTTAAACAACACCTCCAAATATGCTTTAAACAACACCTCCAAATATGCTTTAAACAAGCCTAAAAATTGCATTTCAAATTATTTTAAATATTATCACTGTAAATTATTTTAAATATTATCACTTAAATGTTATCACTGTTCCTTTGCTAGACCATCTGAGTACTGAGTTTAACACAATGTTTGATGATACAACTTTAAAGTGTCATAAAGCACCTGTCTTTTAGTTTCTTTGTCCTAATCTTTAGCTTCTTCAAAAAACAATTGCAGAAAATCATTGTTTTTGTTATACTAGTTGGAAAAACCACATCATAACTTGTGCCTTTTATTTAACCAAAGACTTCATTAGACTTAATTACTATTGCCAAACCAAAAGCTTTATTATGTAAGTTTGACCGGTGAGTTTCAAAAATGAATTATAATTTAATAATACTGAAACATTAAAAGCAACAAATCTTTTCTTTACTGAGGCACCTAAAAGGTTATAAAAAGAAAAAGTATCAAAGCAAAATGGGGTAGATAAATTCTAAATGGTTTAGCTTAGCTTTTCACACAGATTTGTCAATAGATAGTAATTAAGTTTTAACAAGTTTGTTATAAATACTTTTGAATTGTGTTTTAAATAAAATTTAAATATAATAAAAGTATAATTTCAAAAAATATCTTTGCTACCATTTGTTAAACAGCTATTTTCATAGCCAAATTTATTAGTCAAATTTATTAAAAACCATTTCATAATTGTAAGAATAAATATTTTAATATATATAAATTAAATAAAATATATAGATAATTTAAATAAAACTTATATTCAAATATGAACAAAAATTTTATTTGAAACTGTAAATCAAATTAAGTTGAACTAAAATTATAATTTATGATTAATTAAAAAAATATTCACAGTTAAAAATTGAAAAACCATTTTTAATTACCCATTAATTTTAATATTTATCTTTTTATAAAGTTTTTATAGTTATACTTAAATAAGAGCATTATAGAAAGCTGTACAAATCACACAAGTGTGAAACCTTGAGTTTCACACTTGTGTGACTTGTGTGAAAAAGTGGGTGCTAAACTTATAAAAAAAAAATTATTATTACCGTTATTAAAACATTACCTTTCTTTTTTCTTCATCAAGCAATTCTTCACAAATACTGATAAATCTGGGTTTTACTTTTGTATAAATTCCATAGGCAGCATCAAAATCTTTTTTCTCCATAAACAAGTCCAGTTCTCTCTCATTTTCAGCAGCAACTACATATGAAGTCAGTTCATCACAACTGGTAAACAATCTACTCTTCTTATTTATTGTGTACAAAGGATACTTAACTTCACAATTGTTCACTTGAAGCAAGTGATATCTTTTAATAATAGTAATAATAACAACAATAACATTCAAAACTATTATAATTTTTATATTACAAATAATAATATTAGCAATACTATTGAAAAAACAATAAAAATACTACTTTTTAATAAAAAAAACTGTATGAAGATGTTTTATATGCGCTTTATATAATTTGAGTAAAAAAATAAAAATGTCAATATTATTTTTATCCAGAATAAAAATGTATGTTTATATATGTATATATGTGTGCATGCACACCAGGCTGAACCTTTTAAATCTGGTGGAAAATCGTGCAACTTATGCTTGATGGAGAAATATCTTTTTTTTTGGATAAATAATTCTTCAATATTGACTTTAAGTCAATATTGAAGTTATATGATATTTCTCCATCAAACATCTAAGTGTTGTCATAAAGATAAGTATATGATGAATAACTTTAATGCCATCAAAGAAAATGCTCCACAGTATTTTTAATATATATATATATATATATATATATATATATATATATATATATATATATATATATATATATATATATATATATATATATCCTTATAGTGTAGTCGAAAGAGACTTTTATGGTAAAAAAAAGTCTCTTTCGACTACAATTTTTATTACCTCGTCTCTTAAGCTGTATTTGATTGTCATCGAAATGTCAAAGCAATTAAATTAATGTGGAAGTACATTAAATTTTATGGTTTTTTAAAAAAAACGCAATAATAATGACTAGAAAGTTTTTTTTAATTAGTGGTGTTTTTGTTTTTGTTTTATTAAAAAACATTTTTTAAAATATGCATAAGTGTTGCTACATCGACTATCTTATAGCCTGCTGCTACAAGGGAATGTTGCTACATCGACTATCTTATAGCCTGACTCGCAACAGAGTGCTGCTACATTGACTGACAAATAGCCTGACTCGCAAGGAAGTGTTGCTACATTGACTGACAAATAGCCTGACTCACAAGGGAGTGCTGCTGCATCGACTGAGGGTTTGGTTTGGGCAGGCAGTCTATCATTTTGAAGTTTTTTAACATTTTCTGGTCAGGCTTATTAACGCGCTCTTCAAAACAACAGTTTATGGGAAAAACTTTGTGAGTACCATGCAAGACTATATATATATATATATATATATATATATATATATATATATATATATATATATATATATATATATATATATATATATATATATATACATATATATATTCATACAAAATATTATTTAACATAATTCCTGAAGAACCTGTTGAAGTAAAAAAGATTGAAGAAGATAATTAGATAAATACTTTTAATAATTTATAATATATATATAAATGTATAAGTAAATAAAAGTATATCTCCCCCTAAAAATGATTTGGTTTTACAAACACATATAAAGGGAAAGCTTGGAAAAAGAAAATGTTTGAAAAAAAAAGTCAATAAATTTACTACATTGCAACCAATCAAAGTGGCAGTTAAAAGAATTAGGTTAAAAAAAAGTGGAAGCTAGTAATTGTCTGTGGTGAAAAATATTTTTGAAGTAATAAACAGAAAAAGTTCTTGCTAAAGATTTTTATCTGAAAAGTATAGTAATCATTTTGTTGTACCTAGGTTGTAAATAAATGTAATTAGCGTGACTGTTGATATTTAGGGCTACTTTAACTCTAACAGGGTATGTGTAGTATTATTTATACAGGGGGATTTAACACACCAATATAGAGATACTAGAGAACTGCACGGTTCCATCAGTAGACATGCTGATTGATGGGGTCTGCCCACACAGCTCAAACAATTAAAGCATATATGAAAGAAAACAAAGTAGATTTATTACCCTAAAATATCCAATTAAATCTATTATTGGTCTTAGTTATAATAAAATGCATAAACAGTCTAAACCAAAAACTAAACACAGATATACTGAGATACTGTTTGAAGAAGAGTTCTAACGTCAAAAAATCTAATATTCTTAATATTAGATTTTACGTTAATTTTTGCTATGAAAAAATGATCTACAAAGATTTGTGCCACAAAATAAATTATTAAGAAATTTAAATTATTAAGAATTTAAAAAATAACTTGCATTTCATTGTATCCTGTAAAGTACATAACATCTTCATAATGGGTAGTTGTGATACTGAAGAGAGTAAAAATTCGTGTAAATACAAATGCTACTTCTTCATTAAGTTTCACACACCGACCAAGATATTCTTTTGCTCTAATAGTAATTATTCGAATAGTTAATTGTGTGAAAAATAATTTAACTAAACTAACAGTTTAATAAAAAAATAATTATTAGTTAGTTATGTATATTTAGTTTGGTTTCTACGGTAATCAAGATGGGATACTTACAATAATATTTCAGAAAAAAAACGTAGGTGAAATTTTGGATGAAAGAATTTGTATAATATGTGATAATTTAAAACAAAAAGTTTAAAACAGTAAAACTATCAAGTGGTAACAAAAAAGTAAATAAAAGTGGAAATAATATTTTATATGCTTATTTTATATAGTGGTAGATCACTTGGCTAGCAAAAAGTTTTGAGTTTAATCCTCACCACGTTTCTGGTAGTACTACGCTCAACTTGTTTCTCCGCACAGCAGCCTTGTTCATCAAGGTTCATGTTTAAAGAGTTGAGAAAGGGTTATAATCACAACTTAAGAAGCCTCCTCGACTGTAGTGGCCTTCATGGCTTTGGGGAGGTGAATTAAAATAATATAAGTTAAAAAAAATTTTAAAATATTTTTTCCTATCTGATATTGCCAAAGTAACATGTGACTTTTGAGGTGTGTCATTAAATCTTTGTGCTCACTCTGCAAATGTTATGAAATGTTAATACATACTTTTTTATCAAAAAATTTATGAAAAAAGTAATAAGATCAGTATGTATACAGGGGCAAAATGCATATATTATATCAAGCTTGGCCAGGAAGGTGTGCAATTTCACATCATAATATGACCACGCAAATACTATTTGATTGTACTTAACTTGACCACATCTGTTATTATGTTTTGAAAATTTGTATACATTTTAAAAACGCGCTAAAAAAATAATTTTAACTATAAAGAAACTTTTTAAAAAAATTTATTGTTAAAGAAGCAAATAAATCTTCGTTAAAAAAGTAACGAAAAACAAAATAAAAAAAACTTAATTAAAACTAAAGTATAAATAGATAAAATTAAAACTAAAGTAATAAACTTTAATGAAAAGATTATATAAATTGCGTTTGGAATAAACAACTTTGAATTGTTTATCTTTAATGTTTTGATAATATAATATTATGTGAAATCCTTAAAAACAACTTTAAACAACATACAACTAATGATTGTTTAATAAACATTTAAAAGTTTAAAAAAAGATTCTTAACAATTCTTTGCACAAAAGAAAAAATAATTAACTTGTTTATTTAAAGAAGTGATATAATTTTTTTATTTTATTTAAAAGCATATATAATAAAAAATAAATACATATATAAATATACAGGGCCATCCATAAGAGATTTTAAAGGAGTAGGGGGTGGTGGGTCTATTTTTTGTCGATTATAGCCAAAAAAAAAAAATTTTCCCACTAACTTATCTAAAAAGCAAATAAATAATAATAAAAAAAAAGGTCCTCGCTTCCCGACATTTACCAACTGCCAACATATAGAGATCCAATTTTACTGACTCCAGTACCACTTAGCCGACTGATAAAATTTGCTGAGGGGTTAGACACCCCTCCTCGAGACAGCCCTGTAAATATAAAAAAATATATATTATTTACTAATGTTTTTATAAAATATCATTAGCAGTGATTTGTTACTTTATATAAATGCGTTTCAATGATATAAAAACGTAAGTAAAGATCAAAGTTATTTAATTTCAACAGCTTTCAAATGTTTGTCTTTTTTTTCTTCTCAACTAAAACTTTAATGATTCTTATATAAAATTTATTAAAGGAACCTTGACTGTTTAAAGTTGTCAAGACGACTTTAAACAGTGAAGCTTTAAACAGCAAAAAAAAAAGATACTATTTGCGTGGTCATATAAAGACACCTTCTTGGCCAAGCTTGATATATGTGATATTAGTTTTAAAATTGATAATGTAGCATTATAATGATGATGATGATAATAATGAGGAGGAGGAGGATGACAATTATATGTAATGACATAAATCTAAACTAATAAAATATTTTTTTACTAAAAACATAAATCCATAATAATGCATAATGGTTTGAATATTATTTCAAAAAATATTTTGAAAACGTTCCAAATCTGAAACTGTGTTGCTTATTGGTAATTTTTTAAAACTCAAAAACCAATCAAATAAATTTTGTCAAACCTATATTTAAGTTATATTTGTTAACAAATCATATAACATGGTGACCAATGACACTCCACAAACTTTTTTAAGTAATGGTTCTAATATTTTATAATAATAGTTGACCAAAAATTGAAATTTTAGATTTTCAAACCCAATAAAAAAGTGATGAAAAGACTTTTAACTATTTTTTTTTTTTAAACTTTTTTTACTCAAACAAAAAAACTTTACAGTTGGTACTGTTACAACTTATTATTAACTCATAAAAAATATGCTACTATCAGCTTATGATTTAATAGTAGCAACATATTTTTACAAAGAGATCAAGAAATACCCAATTGAACAATTAATTTAATAATAATAAATAGTAATAATAAGATAAGGTTATTTGCAAAGAGTCTTTTCATTAATAAATCTGTTTGCTTAGAAGAAATTTTCGTTTAATTGATTTCATGAACTTTTGCAATGATAGGAAGAGAGTGGTCATGACACTCTTCCTATCACCACAAAAAAAAAACAGGTTAGTCCACTACATCCAAATCACTAAAAATCAAATCTTATCAGTCTTCTTACAATTATAAACAAAGTTTTTGATTTATTAATAAACTTTGAGTATCTTATCTTGTCTAACAATATATTTTGTGACAATAAAATCACGCTTGATCTTACTATTATAAAGTTTTTGAATTATTAAACTTTGAGTATCTTATCTTAAGTCTAACAACTTACTGTGACAATAAATCACACCTGACCTTACTGAGTTATTAACAGACTTTGGGTATCTTAAGTCTAACAACTTACTGTCAATTAATATGGAGTTCAATCGTCTTGTTCTACTGATGATTTGTTAAAAACTCTTAAAATATGAAGGACTTTCAATAAAGTCTGACATGCTGGTCTTTTACATAAGCTGAAACTATGAGATGTATCTTGGACAGTTTTTTATTTTATTGAACCATTCCTTTCTAATTACAGTATTAAAGTTGTCCTTGATGACTAATAGTTATTGTAATGTAATTTCATAATTATTGCATTGCAATCAATGCTAACTTTGTTATAGATTTATAACGTATTTTATCCGCTACGGCTACCTCTTAGATGCTAACTTTGCTAACATAAAAAAGTAACAATCAATTTTGAACCTAGAGCCTTGTATAATGTATAATGGCAACAAGAGACTCCAGGACTCAGCAACTCTATAATATACATATATATATATATATATATATATATATATATATATATATATATATATATATATATATATATATATATATATATATATATATATAATATTTATTCTCATATTATATTTTTATAAGAGTAAAAAAAAAAATTTGACTTTTTGCTCATTAGAGATGATAATGATGAATCATTATTTTTAAACAATGATTTTTGTTGCAAACAGTGCTTCTTTAACATGCAGCAAAGATCTTTTTTAGACAACATAGTTCCACATTTTACTAAATGAAATTCTTTTGACAATTGACGAACTTCATTTGCATTTAAAAGATGTAGAACTTCATCTAGGTTGTTAAGATGCTTGCCATCAGTAAGATATTCTGTGAAAAAAAAAACAAAAACAACAAAAAAATTTTAAAGAAAAATAAAAAGTAAAAGAAATTAATAAAGAAATAAACTTCTAGACTTTTTATAGAATAAACTAAAGTTTATTTTATAAAAAGTCTAGTGACTTTTTTTATTTACAGTTAATGCTTATCTATATGATTTATACTTTTATATTTCAACATTCAAGAGACTTAAATTAAATGAATATAGTAAAAATTAAATGAATATAGTAAAAACAGTAAAAACCATTTGTAATAAGATCGTCAATGAATCCATTTAAATCAGTACTAATGTCTGGATATTGTATTTTACTGCATCTGAACCATCCTTTTTTTCTAAGATACAAACGAACATATAACTGCAAAGATAATTGTGACAAATCTTTGCATTTTGCAAGAACTTTAACATCCTTTAATTCAAATAAAGTAAAAATATCATTAGATTGAAGAACTTTTTCAATTATATAAATGAAGTTCTGCAAATAATATGGTGGAGAAACATTAAATTTCTTAATATCAATAGCTCTAATTAACTCCATTTTATGTTTGTCTTCTTCAATTAAGTTGTTTGAAATGCCATGAACTTCTTCAAAAACTAAGTTTTTATTTATTTTTGATGATTCTTTAACTGTTTCAAACAATTTTTGGTTTTGATGACTATTCAGACCAAATAATCGAAACGGATTCAACTCCTTTCTCCATTCTTTAATACAACTTTCTTCAAAAATAATATGCTTATTGCTGAACTCAGACAGTTTTTCTGCTAAATTTTTAAGTTTTGATTTCCATTGATCAGAGGAAAATGATAATTTTTTAACAGGTATAACTAAACTCTTTTTTTTATTTGATGAAATTTTCTTAGATTTGTTACAACCATTATTATGATCATCACCATCATCATCATCATCATCAATAACAAGTACTTCATAGCTTGGTTTTTTTTTAGCCAAAGAATTTTTTAAATTTGTTGTATCTAATGATGAAGAACTAAACAAGCTGTTATTTTCAGAACCTTGGTTTATATTTAGTAACGCAGAGTTGCTAATTTTGTCATAAATTTTGCTATCAGTTCGGAAATCTTTTTTTTTATCATTATTTGACTTTATTACAAGGAAATCTTCATCGATATAAAATTTGTGTAAATTTTTTGCACTAACACATTCAGCATCAAGATGGCGATTGATTTTTTGTTTATCTATCTGTATTCCACATGCAGGACAAGCAGAGTTTTGTTTCAATTTTGAACATTTCTTTTTATCAGTGCTAGTCATATCTAATTAAAAACAATTTAAGTCAATTGTGTTAAATACAAATAAAAGTTTTATTATAACTACAATCTTAAAAATATTTATGTTTCATTTTTAATATTTTAATTTTTTTTTGTTAATTTACATAATTTATGATAATAATATACAAAGTGGATAATCTAATTTAATAATTTACAATTATTATAACCTACATTTATTATTATAACATTAATTTACATGATTAATGCATAATTTTATTTATTTAATTATTGTTACTTTTTTATAACTATTTTAGAATATTACCTCAGCACTATCAAGTGCAACTTTGCCTCTACTTTGCAAATACATAAACTGCTAATGAAGTAAATAACTGTTCAATTGTTTATCAAAAAATATAAATTGTTTTTACACACAAAAAAAAAAAAAATCATGTAATTGTATACACATTATAACATATGTCTTTATTACTAAAAAATATAAGCTTTATTCTTGGTTTTAATGAATGATCTGATTTTTATAAATTAAAATACAGAGAAAAAATTTTTTACCGATCTTTTCTTATTTATTTCCATGTTGTTCGCTTATATTATATGCCAGTTTTTTGAATGTTTAATAAATCAATGCCATATAGTACTTGATATAGCATGAATAGTACCTGTATAGCATCTGAAAAATGGAAAATGTTTACCATTATATTTATTCCAAAGGTATTATCACCTGTGGCACCTTAAGATATGAGCATGCTCTCAATCCAGGAGAAATTACTTGAAATGTGTGTTAATACTCAACTATTTATTTGCTTTGAAATAAATAATCTATTTATTGAAAACAAGTTAGGATTAAGTAAAGATTGTTCAATTGAAAAAGGTTTTTAAGCTATTATATCTAAATGAAGATCTTCAATTAATATTAATAAATTTTTAATAATCATTCTGAAGAAAAATTAAATAAAACCTTAAGCTACCGTTGAGTGAAGGTACTTTGATAGATTTTTGTGATTTTTTCAAAAAGATTTGATAAAATGTTAATAAATTGCTGCCGTTTTTGGTTTGAATATACCAAATGATCTCTCCTTAACTAGAAAAAATGCTTTTTAGAAACATCAAAACCTGTCTTGTATTTTTTTAAAAGCCCAAAAAGATATCAATTTAACCCCGCAAGTAGGGGTTACTTTGATAGTAAATTTTATTTCAATCGAATATCACATATTTTATTTTTAAAAACTATAATATGATTTTTACCTTTCAAATAGATTATATAAAATCTTAATAAACTTTTGATTAGTGCTTATTTATTTTAAATCAAAGACACTAAAAATAGAAAAGATAATAAAATATTATTACAAAAATATTACAAAGATAATATACTGAAAAAGTAATTCCAAAAAAATTATCAAAACTATCCTGGTTATCAAAGTAACCCCACTCGACGGTACTAAACATAGAGACTATAGTGTTAGGTAAAGAACTTAAGTGGAGATTTAACTTATCTTAATGGTTGAACATAAATAATTAAGCTGGAAGAAAATTCATCAGACAAACCAATTTTTATAATCTGTAATAAAGATTATTATCAATATAGACTATAATATAGACTATATTATAGTCTATATGAATGACAATGTGTAACAGAATTTACAGAATGTTACACATTGTCATTTAAAAATAAATTTTAAATTTTAAATTTAAAAGAAAAATAGTGTGGATATCTCACTTTGTGTTAAACTACACAAAGTGTTTTGTTAAATTACACAAAGTTCAAGTACACACTTTGCGTTTTTCACCTTCCACGAGTTTCTAATATTTATGTTTGATTTATAATAACTACATTACGTCCGCAATGCGTTGAATGTTTTTAAAATCGTACGACAGTCGTCGTACTTGTCGTACGATTTTACGTCATACTAGTTATTATTAAGGAAGAGTTGAACATAAGCTTTGTGTAGTTGGCATTTTTAATTTTTTATTAAAATAATTTTAGGTAAAAACTAAATGCTATTGAAAATATTGAACTTTTTTTTTTAATATGTTTTTAACAGGCTTGTGGAATCCGACTGTTTTTTTGACGGCTCGGCTCCGGCTCCGGCTCCTAAGAAATACCCGGCTCCGGTTCATTTACTTTATGAACAAAAATTGCAAGTTTTAAAATTTTTTTAAATCACATTAGCCAACCCAAAACTGTACCAATTACAGCAATTAATTTGTAACCAACTCTCGTGATTACAAGGTTATTGTATTACTACTACTACAGGATATTACATTTGTAAAGAAAATTATTTCGGGTAAATAAACACTTTTTTTTTATTCATTATTTACCCAAAACTAAAGTTTTTGTTTCAAATTTTAGTTTTAATTCTACCCAGGGAGCACAGTAATTAAAAAAGACTTCTTTTGAACGTCCCAAAGACGTCCAAAACGTTCAAAAGACATCTCAAACGTTCAAAAGATGTTTAAAAAACGTCTTTCTTATGCCCCCCACAGAGTATGAGTCTCTATGCCCCTGAGTCTCTATGCCACTGAGTCTCTATGCCCCCACTGAGGGCACGGGACCTAAAAAAGACGTATTTTGAACGTTCAAAAGACGTCCAAAACGTTCAAAAGACGTTGAAAACACTCCAAAGATGTTTAAAAGACCTCTTTTGTATGTCCCATGCCCACTGGGTAAAGCATGCAATTGTTAAATTAAAAACGATAAAAATTCAAAAAAAATGAAAAATAGTTTAACTAATGCAAAAACTACAAAATATATTTATTTTAATCTAAGGAACTTGAAGATTATAAAAGTGCTTTTTACTTTAATATTTTTATTATTTCAAATAAATAAGCAAACATTTACGCTTATCAACGACATCAACTTCTCAATGGGACGGAATTGTGTGCAAATTGATGGATTCAAGCTTTTTGGTATGAATTTGATGTCACTCTTCTTAGAATAATGACAAGAAGCAAGACTAGGTCAGAACTAACAAGGGACATCGTGACAAAATAAAGTTCCAAAAGTCTAGCTTGCAAGTATTTATTAATGTAAACATCCAAGTTTAAAATTGACGATGCGACAAAAGCTCGAGGTTTCAAACCGCAACTGCATACTGCTTGCCAAATTTTAATCTTTAAAAAACTCTAAAACTTTATATCCTTTGGCTTTTATTCTGTTAGCCGGGGTTTTGCGTGAATGATCGTCGAATACTAATTGCGGTTTTCTTATTCTTAAAGCTACTCTTTCAACCAGATCCTTTTGCTTGTTTGATAGATAGAGAGCTCTTATATTGTTTTATGACAACGCAAACAATAGTTTTGTTAGATTCAGATGCCTTAGCAATTGAAATTAACGATGTAGAAGGACTTTTTAAATAGTTGTGCAGAATTTTTTTTTGTTTTTCTAAATGTTTCAATGACATTTCAATTAAGAGAAACATTTTGATTCGTTTGTTGATGCTTTTAATTAATACAATAACTACTTTATGTAATTACGCGAAAAAAATAATTTTATAATGTGTTAGTGACAAGTTTTAAACGAAATTTATCGTTCCAAATTAAACGATCGCATGCCTTAAGTTTAATTTTAAAGACATCAATAACCTTTGATCATTAAATCGCGCATAAAATATTTAACAGCATAGTATCTGTATAAAAATATAATATAAATATAGTATATCTATTAAAGGATAGTATATTGAGCCGCTCGAATTTTTTGGGTCCGGCTACGGCTCCACAAAAAAAACAGCAGCTCCCCGGCTCCACGGCTCCGGCTCCGGCTCGGCTCCACAAGCCTGGTTTTTAAATAGGTTTCTTATAATTTTAAAAATAAATGTTTTTGCAGTCAGTTCCGTAATACAGGGCAACTATTTTTCCCTTTCTTTAATTTATGAACTTATGAAATGTGCGTTTGAAAATGTGGATATTTTTAAAAATATATAAACAACAAACTATTGTAAAAAAATATTTATGTTAAATAAAATAATACAATCATACAGTTGTCAAAGAATTTCCACGACTACTTCGATAGCTTCAATTGCTTGAAAGTTATACGCAGATTCAAATTATACAATAGTTGTTAACAATTATTGTGTATGTAAATGAATAGTCCCAGTGGCCACCAGATCAAAAAAAGACGTTTTTTGAACATTCAAAAAACGTCCAAAACGTTCAAAAGACGTTCAAAAGACATCCAAAACTTGTATAAGACGTTTAAAAGACGTCTTTTTTACGTCCGTGCCCACTGGGGTAGTATTAATAGTAGTAGCAGTAGTAGTAGTAGTAGTAGTAGTAGTAGTAGTAGTAGTAGTAGTAGTAGTAGTAGTAGTAGTAGTAGTAGTAGTAGTAGTAGCAGTAGTAGTTGTTGTTGTTGTAGCAGCAGTAGTAGTAGTAGTAGTAGTAGTAGTAGTAGTAGTAGTAGTAGTAGTAGTAGTAGTAGTAGTAGTAGTAGTAGTAGTAGTAGTAGTAGTAGTAGAGAAAAATGCTGCAACAAGTTTCCTTGTGTAACCTACAGGTTTTGACGGCCATATCTACTTCATACTCTAATTTTATTCATATCAATATATAAAAATTTACATAGACTTATAGTATAAAGAATAAGTTTGTTCTTTATTTTTTTTGTTTTATTTTGTTATAATCTCGATACTTATGCGGGTTAATGGAAATTTCCGCATCGAGCCAAGCTTTAAAACTCTTAACTAGAGATCGCCGGTTACAGTATACGGTATACTAACTTTACGGTATACTTTACCGTATAGTTGGTATACTAAAAATTACTATACCAATTAGTATACCTGTTATTTATGAAATATTTTTTAAATGATTTTATAATTCAATAATGATATTATCTTAATTGATTAAATAATTGTATTATATGTATTACGCGATTACTTTTTTAGATAAATAATACAATAATTATTAATAATAAATATAGTATTATTTATAGTAGTATTAAAAGAATTATCATTTATTAAAGTGTTGTTTTTTTGTAATTTAACTTTTGAAAGGTTTTTGAATTTATTTATTTAAATTTTAATTGTTTTTTGTTCTTTTTTATTTGTTTATTGTATGTATAAAAGTAACATGTTTACTCTTACCTTGAAGTAAAATATTTAATGTCAGAACAAATTTACCAACATATCTCTTTTTTTGGAAAAGGTTCAACAAGAAAAATTTATTGCAAATATTGTGATAAACAAATTGCAGCAAAATCAACATTAAGATGGGAGCAGCATTTGAGAGGATGTAGAAAAACGTCTGATGAGGTTAAGTTGTGCTTTAAAAAAATAAAAAAAAGAAGTTCAGAGTGTTATAGTTGAAACAAAAGGATATGATAATATGGCTTCACAAACCTCTGAAAATTTAGTTTTCAAAGAATCTGGGAAGCCTGCTAAAAGAACTATGCTAAATTCATACTTTAACACTATAAGCAAAGATGACATTGATAAGATAGATAAATCATATGCAAGGACATTTTTCCATACAGGAGTACCTTTTGCATTAGCTGATTCTTCTGCATGGAAGCAACATCATGCTAATCTTAGACCTGCATATAAACCTCCATCTAGTAAATGTATAAGTGGGCGTCTTTATAAAGATGCATTAAATGATGAAAAACATGCAATAAAAAAATATGTTGATAGTTCTGAATATGTTAGTATAGTGACTGATGGATTTTCAAACATTAATGTGAATCATCTTGTTAGTTATTCAATTCATGTTGAAAATAGGACTATGAAACCTATTGCTTACAAAATTGAGCCTACTGGTCAAGAACAGCAAACTGGCATTAATATTGCAAAACGCATAGAAAATGTAATTCTTGAAATAGGTGTTGATAAAGTTACAAGCATTGTTACTGATAACGCATCAAACATGAGAGCTGCATGGGATATTATTGAAAAAAAATATCCAAAAATATTTTGTAATGGTTGTGCTGCCCATACAATAAATCTTTTAGTAAAAGATATTTGCCTTCTTCCTGAGTTTGTGGATATTTTACAAAAGTCTGGAAAACTGACAGCCTTTGTTAAAAAAAGAACATCACTTATCGATCAATTTCGTATAATTCAAAATCGTGTTAAACAACAAATAATTTGAAGAAAATGCGAGCATTATCACATGTAGTTTTAACACGGTGGTATAGCCATCATACATCTGTTGCCCGTAATCTTGAAAACAAACTAGTTCATTTGAATTTAATTAACTCTGGTGCCTTCTCACGTGTATCTATATCAAAAAAAAAAATCAGATTATGTAAACATTGTACAAGACAATTTTTTTTGGGAAGAATGTCAATGTTTTATTAATGTTATGAAACCATTATCAAAATTAGTAGGTAAACTGGAATCCGATAGTTGTCTACTTTCTGAAGTTTATATAGGGTTTGTTAACTTAATGGAAATATGGAAGGAAGACGCAGTATTGAAAACTCTTGTTTTAAGCAGATGGGAATTTATTCACATGCCATCTATGGGATTTGCATACTTTCTTGATCCACGAAATCATGGTGGCAGAAATATGTATACTGAGTCTCCTCCATCTAGCAAAAGTGATCTTGTTATAGTACTTGAGTTGCTTCCAAAGTACATAGTTGAAACAAGAGGACTTTGCAATTATGAAATTTCAAAAAAAGAAATAAAATCATTTCAGAGGCTATGTGCAAATCCGACTCCAGATTTTGCAACTCAGATTAAATTAATGGATCCTGATATCTGGTGGGGAGTTGAGGGTGCAAGTAAATTTCCAAATTTAGCAAAGGTTGCACAAATAGTCTTTACTATTCCAACTTCTCAAGCTGCAAGTGAGCGAATATGGAGTTTGTATAATTTTATTCATTCAAAGCGAAGAAACCGACTTGCAAAAGATAAAGCAATTGGATTGGTTCTTATGTATGCAAATGCAACACTCCACGAAAAAGAAGCAAATATTGCTGATATAATGCTTGGCAATACTAGTGATCACGATGAGAGTGATGAGAGTGATGAGGATGGTGTTAATGTTGATTTCACTTTAGAGACTTCAGTTGATACAAGTGATTTATTGTCACAGTTGGCTAATTAAATGCTTTATTTAATTACTAAGAAGTTTTAAAAATCTTTATATTACATCGAAAAATCTTTAGATCATCGAAAAATATTAGCTAATTGAATATTTAGCTAAGGACGGGGTTGGGAAATTAAAAAAAGTTGTCTGGTCCCCTCGCGACTGAACAAATAACATTTTTTAACTTCTCTTATAGTTTCGCTAACAAATTTATTAAGTAAAAAAAGTTGTTTATTGCAATGACGTCATTGGTATACTTAACAGTGTACTTTACGGTATACTATACAGTAAACGGTATACTAAAATTTTAGTATACCGTAAACTAGCGATCCCTACTCTTAACAGATGCAGTTGAAGCGCATACAACTTCTGACGGTAATACATTCCAATGATTTACTATTCGATTTGTAAAAAAAATTATTGTCTTTGCTTTCAATTTTGATCAAATACTCTAGTCATTTTTATGTGATGCTCTCTAGTTTTTGTTTTATTTGACCAACACAAAGCACATTGGGTTCATTTTATACGGCTGTATCAGATCTCCTCTATTGCGACGGGTTTCTAAGATCAGTATACTCAGACAATTTTTATATGACATATGACGGTACGAAAGTATTAAACGGTATAAAAGGCATGAAAAGTATTAAAGATACTAAATCTCTGATTTGTACTTTCTCAATTTTATCAATATTTATTCTTGACGATGGATTGCTGGCTGCTACCGCAAATTCCATATGAGGTCGTACAATTTTAAGTAGTTGCGGAGTCATGTGACTAAAAGTACGATACAACATGCCTAATATACTGTTGGCTTTATTGGTTGCATAAATTGAATTTTTATGCCATTTCAAGTCTGGGGTAATCATGATGCCCAAATCACGTTCGACTAAAATTGATGCTAGTTCTACACTATTATTGCATAAAATCTGTTGGTTTTACCCATGTGCATGATTTTACATTAATAAAGTTTAAGTTCCATTTCCCAGGTTTTACATTATTCGGCTATGTTGTAGATATTGGTATAAAGTTTTTGTGAAGCTAATGGGTGGTCTAAACGGGCCAGCAGTTTTGTGTCATCGGTATACATTTTACACGGATGGTTAACAATATTGGATATATTATTCACGAAAGTGATAAAAAGTAAAAAAGCTCAATATTTTATTGTATAGCATTTAGTTTTTACCTAAAACTATTTTAAAATAACAAGTTAAAAATGCCAACTGCATAAAGCTTATGTTCAACTCTTGCTCAGTAATAATTAACTTTAGACTTTGGTTCATAATGAGGATTGATGCATGTGACTAATTCAACTACCTTTCTAAATTTCTTTGTGCTTACTGTCTATTATTTTGTTTCAACTACTTTTTGTCAATGTTTTAAATTGAACTTTTGTAATAACTGAAAAATTTTTAATGGTAAGAGTAATAACTAGTTTTGTGTAATAAAATTCAATGAACTTGAGAGTGTTTTTTTTTCATCAAAATCTAATTCTGTATCTAAAGTAAGTTTGGGATCTTCAGATAATAAAGATTCACGTGATAGGTGACGATAATCATAAATAATGAAAATCTCGTTGACTCTACTACTAACTAACAAAATTAAACATTTGCTGCAATGTTTTCATTTATTTATTTATTTAGATGCCAATATTGTAAGTTAAATAATTTCTATTTGTTGCGATACAACTGTATCAATATTAGAATACACTCTGGAGCTCATTCTACCACAGTGGAGCTATTCTCCCACTTCATGGAGGCTTTGATTAAAGAGAAGACAAACGGCGTAAGGTAAAGGATACATATCAAACTCTTGAGTCATACTTGGTAGCAAACTCAATCTAAAATTATCTGGCTTTTAAGAGTGCTTTTTGCATCAAAGATAATCATCCAGTTTTTAAAAACCAAACTGATACTTGACGGAGCAGTTGGTACTGCTATCTCTGACCGATAAAGTAAGATGTTCCTGAAAAGTTAAGGATAAGAAAATTTAAGCGAACTCTAAGCGAAATATGCTTAGAGTTTGCTTCGAATCCTGGATCCCTTTCTTCTAAAACAAACGCTCTAACCACTGCGCTGAGACTGCTCAAATAATATATTAGGCAGGGGCGGATGCAGGATTTTTTGAAGTTTGAAATAACAAACTTCCAGACATGGAGCGAACTCGAAACTTTTATATGTTTCTAGTTATATTAAATATGGATACTTTGCAAAAAATTGATATGATAGGAGCCTGGGAACAAAAAAGCCCCAAAATTTTTGCTACACCTGCCCCAAACGTGAGAGCAACAAGTTGATAAAATAAGTTTTTTACTTTTCTCAACTAAATCTATATTCATCGAGAAATTTTTAATTTTGTACAACAATCTTTTAGCGTTCAATAATAATGGTCTTATAAAATTTGTAACCCCCTCAAATTGAGGGGGATTCAAACTTTATGTAGCTATAACTTTTGAACGTTAAGAGATTATTGCATGAATTTTAAAAATTCTCGATGAATATAGATTTAGTTGAGAATAGTAAAAAAATTATTTTATCAACTTGTTGCTCTCACGTTTGGGGCAGGTTTAACAAAAATTTTGGGGCTTTTTTGTTCCCAGGCTCCTATCATCTCAATTTTATGCAAAGTATCCTTATTTGATATAACTATAAACATATAAAAGTTTTGAGTTCGCTCCATGTCTGGAAGTTAGTTATCTCAAACTTCAAAAAATCCTGCATCCGCCCCTGTTAGGTATATTAAATTAGTATAAACTATGTAAATAAACTATTGTTTTAAAGATATGTTTTGTAAATCTTCGGTCTAAATACAATCTGCCTGAGCATTTATGCTGGAAAAATAGCAATTTGGCAATGGCATCAGGCGTTGGAACATTAACCACGGTCAACTGGAATTTATAGAATGAAAACCGGCAGAGAATCCGACCGATGTTTCAAAAATGACCGATATTTTAAAATATTTTGATGTGTTTACATAGTTTCTAGGGATAAGCTGAATGAAAAATGATTTTCCGTAAAAAGTTAAAAGTATTAAACAACGTATATTTATTATTGTTCTTAATCATATATATATATATATATATATATATATATATATATATATATATATATATATATATATATATATATATATATATATATATATATATATATATATATATATATATATATATATATATATATATATATATATATATATATATATATATATATATATATATATATATATATATATATATATATATATATATATATATATATATATATATATATATATATATATATATATATATATATATATATATATATATATATATATATATATATATATATATATATATATATATATATATATATATATATATATATATATATATATATATATATGTATATATATATATATATATATATATATATATATATATATATATATATATATATATATAATTTATATATATATATATATATTTATATATAAATTTTATAATATATTTTATATAAAGATTTATATATATATATATATATAATTTATATTTATATACATTTATATATATAATTATATTTATATATTTATATTTTATATATATATATATATATATATATATATATATATATATATATATATATATATATATATATATATATATATATATATATATCTGTGTGTATGAGTGTGTGTGTGAGTGTGTGTGTGTGTGTGTGTGTGTGTGTGTGTGTGTGTGTGTGTGCAAATATAAAACAAATGTTTTAATTATAAAAAATTAAATAAAGATAACTAGTTTTATTATTATTATATAAATTATGTTAAATTAATATATGAATAAAGATGAAGTATAGAGAAAAATACATTATTATAAGCTGTAAAAGCTGTAACCTGCAATAATATCCTTCACTCCTAATTTTTAGAAAAAGTTGCTCTTGTGATTGTTTATTAAAACAACAGCACTTTATTTTTAAATTATTATAAATGTACCTATTTGCGTCAACGTATTAAGTAAGAACAAAATTTATTTTGTTCTTGCTAACTCTTAAACATCTTGGAAAACTACCAAAAGATTGCTTAAAAAAAAAAAAAAAAATGCTTTTTTAGCATGTGAAACATGCACAACAAACCTTGCCTATTGCATTTTTTAAATTGATATTAAGTAATACATATACAATGTCACAAATATTATTTGATCAATATTAAGTAATATATATATATATATATATATATATATATATATATATATATATATATATATATATATATATATATATATATATATATATATATATATATATATATATATATATATTGTCACAATTATTATTTGTGACATTGTATATGTATTACTTAATATTAATCAAATAACATTATTGACCTCTAGTTCTTTTGTTTGAAGCTAATTTAAAAATTTTTTTATATGGTGTTTATTTTTTTAAATAGTTCCTACATAAAAAGGTGACCAACCAGTTATGCAATATATAATATTTAGACAAACTATATTAAAAACTATATTTTTTGACTCTAAATATAATGAGTATTCTTTATTAAAGTTTTTTTATTTTAAGTTTTTATTGTTTATATATTGTTTATATATTAATTTTTACATATAACTAATTTTCTGACATTTTTTTATTCAATTTAAAAATATGTATTTCCCCCTTAACATCATAATGTTTTCATTGACTTAATTTAAGTAAATTAAAATTAGGTTCATTTAAATAACTTGATTTATTTGCATGCATAAATTCAAATATCTTCAAAAAATAATTATCTTTAAATAGTTTTAACATTATAACATAACTTTGACAGTTTATTGCAAGTTCGTATTAAAGTAAATTTTTTTTATAAGCTCTAAAATTTGTTACAAATTTTTACAATATTTAATTTCATATTGAACTTATTATCTTTTATTTAGTATAAAGTTAATAATTATTAAAGTTACAAATATTTTCTTGTTTGTGCTTACATTTTGAGCTGTATTTATGGTATATGATAGTAACCCATATATGTTATAATTTAAAACTTGACCTGTTTAATTTATTAAACAAAATTTGGAAGGGGTAGGCATTGAAAGTATAATGTTTTTTTTTTTATCTATATCTTTTATCATACTCAATAGATCTTGCTTATCAAGTTTTGTGTTTTGGAGTTACAGGTTGAGAGAATGGAGTGGTAAGAAAACAACTATATTGACCACTCTATTGCCATTAAGTTAGAGTTTGCTCCTAGTTTATTTCCTGTCCTTGTGCACCCAAACCTAATTTAAATTTTGTTTAAGAAATTAATTTCCCCAATCATTTAATAAATTTTTTTGCAACTGGTCTAGTTATAAATTATAACAAATGTGGTTTATTATCCATAGATACAACTCAAATGACTTTACAATGTTACAGTTTCTCTTTTAATCCACTCTGAAATAAATAGTAATAATTTCAATATATATTTTAGGTGTTTTTTATATATAAGATAATCATATCTGCATGTAAATCTATGTTTTTTGTACTAAACATTATATTAAAAAATTTAATTATGTTATTAATAAAATAACTGTTACCGTGGAAACTATAGAAGCTTTTACTGCTACTGTAGTATTATCTTATTTATTATAACTGCAACACCACATGCTTACCCCAATCCTCTTTCCTGTTTTATTCTCTACTTCATAGAAATACTCCCTGGTTTTACAAAAGGTACTAACAAACTGTTTTTGAGAAATATATTGCTGTCAGATATCTTGAAATAATTATTGATTCTATAATGTTATTATTATTTTTTTATATTTTATCAGTTAGATTTCAAATAAATGTTATTTATAAAGACATGCAAGCTGTCAAAGTTCTAAAAAAAAAAAATAGAACAGTATCACCATTAGTTGAACAAGATGATGAGACGGAATTAAAAGCCATCAGCCCACCACCAAAAGAAACTGATTTTGCTTGGTCCAAAAGTATTGGTAAATGAATATATATATTTTATTTTATTTTCAATTTAACTATTTGAGGTACATTGGTATAAGTATAAAACAACAAAAGTGGTGACTCATTGACCAACACTAATGGTTTACACAACATATATGTGATGCAAAGTTATATACAAATACATACAAATGCAAAGAGTGCATATGTAGCAAATAGTAATATAAATTTAGTGAATAAAGTTATCAAAACTTAATGTTTACACATTGGTAAGAATTTAGTTTTTGTTTTAAATTTAGGTTACACTTTAGGTTGAATTCAGTTTCTCTTTAATATTAGTTTGTAATAGTAGAGGGTATGATTTTGTTGCTTAAGACTTAACCAGTTTATGTTTTCTTTAATTTTTTCTTATTTATGCTTATATTGTTTTTTCAAAAAACATTTTTCCACTTATTTCTGATCTTGTAATTGTTTATATTTATGTATGTTACACTAAATAATTGTAAAATCAATTTTGTTGGTTTGAATTTATGCTGATATGCACTTTTACATTTTTAATTTATACTGGCAAAGCGAATCATTTTTTTCATTGACTTAATGGATTAAGTTTAATAGTAAATATTTCTTTTTATTATTATTATTTAATAAATAAGTATTTTTAAAAGCGTTTAAAATATTATTAATGTTTATTTTTAAATAATGAAAAAAAGCTGGAGTTAAATATTAATTTTAACAATTTTTTTGTTCCACTAAAAGATAATTTTTAAGTTTTTGATAAATAAAATTTTAAACTTATAAAAGAAAAAAATTAATGGTATGCTCTTTAGTTTGCGTTATAATTATTGCGCATTCTAAAACCTTGACATCATTTCACATCTTTTAAGACTTGGTGCTTCAGCAACCCATATGTATTAATTACGTTCCATCATTAATTCTATCAATAAACAACTTGTTCTGGAAAGTTTGATTAACATGAAACTTATTTTTCAATGTTTTTTGTGACATGAACACAACTTTTCTTGGCATTTAGGGATCATTTTAACAGTCAAAAAATAAAAACTATCAACCTTTTTTTTAACATTTTGGCTTTAACAAAATCTTTGCATACTACTTTATAAACTAGTTAATCATTATTAATCGATGTTCAGTCTATGATCAATTCAAAAAATTGATGATAAAGAAAAAAATTTTGTTATAAAAAACTGAAATATAAAGTAAAGTTATATGTAATACAAACACTTTAAAGTAATTTGAATTTATTAATTATTTTTTTTTACTTGGAAATTTTAGCAGTAAAAAAAATTGTATAACGGAACGTTTTAAAATTTATAAAAGAATTTTAATTAAATTTAATAAAATAAATTTATATTTAATTACATTTAGTTATAATTTTAATTTAAGTTTAATAAAATAAATTAAAAATAGTAAAAAAATAAATAAAATAAAAATGGAAAAAAGTTTATTTATCTATCTGTTTTTTTTTATCTAATAAAAAAAATATTCCACAAATATTTTTTAAAACAATTAATTACAGTTTAATGTTTTCCGCATAAGTTGTTCTAAAAGACTGTTTAAATAAACTAATTGAAAAAAGTTTTTGCATAATGTAAATAGCAAAATTCTTGATTCAATTCTTGACCACAAATTTCTAAGACTGTCAACGTTGATCATGATGCGTCACAAACTTTGATCACTTAAGCAACACCACAAAAAATCAGTTGAAAACTTCATGACTAACCTCAAGCAGTTTGCCAGAAAGTGTCCAGCATAGTCTCTTACTGCCGATCAACATAGAGGTTTGTTAATATGTGATACCTTTATTGCAAGCATTTGCTCTCCTATTATTTAACACCAACTACTTGAATCTACAGAAGAGAATCTAGATGTACTTTACAAAATATCTTTGGTTGTTAGAATGAAATTATCTTCAGCAGCCTTACCTGGCTGCTGAAGATACTCTCAGTCTAACAATGACAACTATTTCTGCTACAACTGTACTCCCTAGTTTTGCAGCTACAAAAAATCAAACAATTACCAAAACCTCTTGCTTTAGGTTTGGTGGTAAGTTACACAATTAAACAAAATGCCCAGCATGTAACTCTACCTGCACAAATTGTCAAAAAAAAAGGTCACTGGGCAAATGTCTGTTTATCAAAAATAGAGATTAAAACTTTCACTAAGACTGCAGTATTAAAACAAAAACACACAGGCGATGAGAATGAAAGTACAGTACTCTCTTTGGTCATAGCCTCAATTAACTCACTAAATAGATTGATTGACATCACCATAAATAAAAATAAAACTCAGGCGTTATTGGATACCGGCTTAGATAAAACATTCATTACCTCTGAATAAATTCTTACACAATGAAACCTTCTTACACAATGAAACCTTCCCTACAACACACGATACAACTGTAATTGTTGGAATGGATGTACTGACACAGCATTCTTCTATAACTATCAGCTTTAAAGGAAATAAAGAACTGCTGAAATTTTGCCTTGGTTCAAATAGCATGAAAAGTAATACTTATGCCTTGATACCTGGAAGAGATATCAATAAAATTAAGCCTATCGTAACAAAATGAGAGTGGACCAAAAACATAAGAAATTAACTGCATGCTCAAAAAAAATTAATTCAGGTAAGCCCACCCTTTAAGTTCTTACCACACTCAATATTTTTTGGAATCTTCAGGACATAAAAATCGCTTCATAATTTTTTTTTTGATTCATATCCAGCACCGCATATTGACGAGTTTTAGAGTTTTAGTATAGAGTTTTTTCACACATTTTCACACAGCACTGGCCCTGAGGAAAGTGGATGTGTTTTTTAGGCACCCCTTTTTAATGTTTGCAAAACTCAGGTTTTAGGCTATGGTTTTCAATATTACTCATTATGTGTAATTTGTTTTTTATGGACTTATTATAGTAAGTGCTTGAAATAGACATCCACCGTGTATAAAGTTTATTTATTTAATTTGTTATTCAAAAAATACTGCAGATGTGTGCACCTAATAAATCAAATTTTTTTTATATTTAAAAAAACAAGCTATGACAAGACTGCATTTCCCAATTGGCCATGCCTACTTCTTGCAGTTAAGATGAATTAAGTTTATGCAATAGTAGTGTGATGTTTTATGATTGTTGGTAAAAGATTTTTTGAGTTTTAGTAAGACAAACAAGTTGTAGTTTATTTTTGAAAAACAAAATTTAGTTAATGGTATTCATTGATCTGGTATTTAGAATTCATAATATGGTTTTTATTAGAATCAGTGTTTATGTAAATTTATTAGTAGTAATTTTTTTTATTAGAATCAATGTTTATGTAAATTGATCTAAGCAGTTTGATTTCTTCAATAAATTATAATATAAGTTTTTTTGTTTTTTTTTAATGTTTTGTGTTTATTAATGTCGAGTTTAATGACTTAAAACATAAAATTGGCGTTAGATTGGTTTTCTAAAGTTTTTTTTTTTTTTTTTACTATTTCTATCTTTTCTTAGTTCAAAATAAATTTACCTTTCAGCTTGTGTAGTTTTTTTTTTTTTGTGCTTCCCATAATGCCAATAGAGTTCTGTTGTGTTCACTGTTTATAGAAAGTACAGTATTATTTTAATTTTTATTATTTCAACTGCAATAATTCTTGTTTGTTAATTTTCTTTCTACAAAATTTTTTTGTTATAGAACACAATCAAGTAAATTCTAGTGCAGGGTTGGAAACTAATGAGTTATCAACAAGTTTTCTGTTAAGCTCTGGTTCACCTGTTAAGGTAAAGTTTTTAGTTTTTTATTATTCTATTTTTTACTGCTTTGTAATTATATATATAGTTATTTTACATAAAAAAAAAAAAATTAAGTTTTCTTTTGATTTATATTGTTGTTAATTGTTTTATGTGTGTATTTCTTTAGTTACATATACAATTATTTTATGAGTTTTTATTATATTGTATTTTGTATTATTTAAATATTTAAAAGTACTTGTGTCTTGAAGCAGGTATTTTTTTGTTCAGTTTTTAATTACAATAAGCAATTATTTTTTTAATTTTTACTTTTTAAATATAATTATTTAAATAATTATTTAGAAGTATTTGTGTTTTGAATTCAGCATTTTTATTTATTTAGTTTTTAATTATAATAAATTTCAGAATGGTGAAGATGCATCATCTCGTTCAAGTACACCATCGAGTTCAACAGGGTTTTTAAAGCGGATAAAAAAAAATGCAGTTGCACCATATAATGAAGAGACTTCCTTTAATGCTGCAGATAATAAAATCTTTGAGGAAGATAATAAACCTAGTGGTTTTTAATTTAATTTTTCATAGCAGTATTGTAATATTTAATAGATTTTTTTTTATTTAAAAAAGTTGACATCAGTGAAATCATAATACAGTAGCATATTATGATGCAAGAGTAATATTATATTAAATTTAAAGATATTAAATTTAACATTAAATTATTATTAATTACTAAGTGTCATGTTCTAGTTTGTTTAAAATTATTAATCCATGCATCTCAAGTAAATAAAAAAGTTCTTTTGTAACATCTCTTACCAAATTTATTTTAGATTTGTTATTTTAGATGTGTCAGTTGTTGAGGCATTAGATGTGTCAGTTGTTGAGGCATGGGGAAATGACAGCATTGAGACTTCTGATCCTAGCACTCAATTATTTAACCAAAATACATCGACTCCTTCATACAGGTATTTTAGATTAAGATAAAGTTTTTTTCCATGTACAACTTTTTTATAAATTTTTAAGTTTTTTTTCCATGTACAATTTTTTATAAAGTTTTTAAGTTTTTTTTTCCATGTACAACAAAAAATGTATAAAAAACTTTCAAGTTTTAGAGACATTAGGATAAAAACTACATTATTTACATTTTTTGAACTACTTTCAATTTCAACTTTTTTTTACTAATTTTAAACTTTTGTTACACATTACTATATATTTTGTTGCACATTACTATAAATCAAAATTATATATTAATTTAAATAATTTTCATCAGTAATTTTTCAATTGTTTGTTTTGATTATGTTAATGTTATTTTATATTAAAGTATATATAACTGGTCGTTAAAAAGACTTTGAAAATTGTGTTTATAATAAAAAAAAAATAAATAAAATAAACTAATTATAAGTACTAAACAAATGAAATATAATCAAGGTGCATATTTAATTTATCTTCAGTTAAAAGTTTAAAATAGGTTATATATAATTCTTATCAGGAAATACTTCATTCCGTTAATCTTATATGACCAGAAGCAATTTTAGGCTAGTAGCTCATCAAGTACAATGTCTTGTCTTTTAAACAATTGTACAATTAAAAGTGTCTAAAGTTACCAATTAATTGTTGACCACATTTTAATATTTCTATGGTGAAAACATAAGCCAACCATTTGACAATTTATTGCTGACCTTATTTTTCTAATTGAAAGATTTAGTAAAGCTCAATCAGAAGTAAAACTAATTGCAAGATTTAGTGAAATCAAAAGTAAAACTTTTTTTTCTAATATACTTAATTAGTGGTATTAATTTTGATTCTTTTTAAAAATTTTTACAAGACCTTGAGCAGATTCAGATTTTAAATTTTTTATATTTTTTTTATAAAGAATGAAATCTTCACTTCTACTGAATCTAAACCAACTAATTAAGAGTTGAAGTACAACACATATACAACCTCGTTTTCAAGAACCACATTTGACAGTGAGTTGTTTTACAGTCTGTTAAAGCGTAAAACAACATGCTATAAAATTTAGCATTTCTAATGGTAATGTGTAATGAATTTTGCAGATTTCTTGCAATATAGTTAATAATACTACACAGTGTTAATCAGAATTAAATGCTTTGCCCATATATTTAATTTAAAAAAAGAAAAAAATCTACCAGAATAATATATATATATATATATATATATATATATATATATATATATATATATATATATATATATATATATATATATATATATATATATATATATATATATATATATATATATATATATATATATATATATATATATATATATTAGGGTACATCAAACCCCCAACAATTTTTTTAACTATTTATTTCAGTTTGGACCCTATAATTCCTGTGTTCCACTTCATAAATTATGACTCCTGTAAAATTTTGAGATTTTTCTGTGTCAATTTAATGGGTCCACAACAAACGCAAATATCTGTATTTTTTGCAATAAACTGTAATTAATACTATTATTGGTGTCGGTTACATTTAAACAATTAATATACACAATATTACTTATAGTTTCAGGAATTACTGCAAAGACTGTCAAATTAACAAAAGAATACTCAAGTATTCCAAACAAGTATGACAAATTTTACAATATTGAACAGAGCACAGTACAATAGGTATATAGTCTTCTTACAGCTACTCAGACTTGGAACTTTCTTACTGTCAGCCTCAACAACTTGCAGAATGTTCTGATAATTCACCTAGGTTTTTGCTGCATATTGAAAGTCTTCATGCCGCATTCCGCACTGTCATTGATAGTATTGACAAAAATTGTCTTTATCTTTGATGACAAAAATAAAGATTGAACTGGCCAGTTTTCAACGTTATTGTTAAGAAAATCCATGTTCATTTCTAAAATGCTGAAAATGTACCATGAATCTGCAGTAACCAAATCTCCAAGTTTTGTTGTGGCAGTGATTTCAATTGGAAACTTGGGTTTTCCGAAGCCAGTTCTGTAAAGATCATGCGGCAGAGCCATTCCATCATTAGGCCTCGCTGCCAGAAGCTTCTCATACAAGTACTGCAATTCAGGTTTTTGAAACATGTCACTAAATAGAGCAAGGGGCATCATTTCAGAACACAGATGACACTTCAGTGCTTTTATAGCCTTTTCAGATATTTCAGAACTCACTTGTGTGTACGTTAGATGGTTCTGATAAAGGCAGAAATTTTGCCATGGGGCGTCAACTGCAGATCTACACGTTGTCCACCAGGCACTTGTATCAGACACACAAAGGTGACGAAGCTGCATAACTTCGTCTGCTCTGCAGCAGTGATAATTGTTCCTGCTGGCAACAAATAGATCTGCTCTTCAAGAAGGACCATTTTGATGGAGTACAATATTTTGGACATCCACCGTGCTTTGTTGACTACACTGTTGACTACAATTTGTAAATCATTTTAAAAAGTTTGAGATTCGAATGGACTGAGTGTCTCATTGCTTCCATGAGGAACTGTGTCAAAATGCTTCTTAGTTGTGCTAAATACAGTAAATTCTGGTGATTTTGATGCTTCAATGTGCAAGTTGTTAAGAACACATGTTAAAATAACTTTTCCAACATGATGATGGCATGCAGACCAGAGCTATTCACAGCCAATTCTTTGCTGCAGGGCCACACATGCAGCACTGACATGTCATATTGCTAGCCATAGTATCAAAAGTTATGTTTACTATTGACTTAACTCAGTTCCATGACTGCGAAACTGCATTGTAGCATTAGTGATGATATCTCCAGATCATTGATCTGTTCCTGGTTGATAAGCAGCTACGCCAAGAATTTTGACATTGATGTTGTTGCCAATAGCAACCACAAGTTTTTCCTGTAAGTCATGTGTTGTCTGGCTCTTCAACAGTTTAGAATCCCAGTGCAGGGAAGCATACTTTGGTGAAACCTATAACTTCCTAACTTTATGTTTGTCTGCTGTGGCATATGATACAGCAATTTTGCTAGCATCCACTTCTGATTCTTCACTAATAGCCTTAGTGAGTGCAAATTGTTGTGCAGGAGAAATTTTAGTTCTTCTTGCCAAAGCCTCAATACTTGGAGATTTGAGAATGTTATAAGGCATATGAGCTGCCGTTCCAGTGCAAGTGGTTTAGTGGTGCGTTTTTACCAGTTTCTTTTCAGAAGTCTTGAAAGAACTACCGATATCACATTTAATTTCATCACTACTTTCCTCGCTGCTGTTGCTAGGGAGCTCTACTGTACAAATAGCAGATACTGTAGCAGTAGCAGTAGCTGCTTATTCTAAAAACTGAACTTTTCTGACGAGTTTTTTTTGGTGTAAACTTCACAGCAGGTTATACCATGCTATTGGTACAGCTTACTCCTGAAAACGCAAATAGAGTTTGAAACATTCTACAGCAAGTAAAATGATATGAATTATAAAACTCATTATTCATAAGTTAGACATACAAATTTGCAATAATATCGTAATAATGTTGTAGTAAGCTATATTTCGTGTTTCAGGTGGACCCATTAGGAATAATTATATTTTTATAATATTTAAGTAACTACTTAACACCAAAGAAACATGCTTATTATAGGACCTTTAGGAGTTTAACCCATGAGGGGGTTTGATGCACCCTATTATACATATATATATATATATATATATATATATATATATATATATATATATATATATATATATTCATATATTTATATATATATATATATATATATATATATATATATATATATATATATATATATATATTTATATATATATATATATATATATATATATATATATATATATATATATATATATATATATATATATATATATATATATATATATATATATATATATATATATATATATATATATATATATATATATATATATATATATATATATATATATATATATATATATATATATATATATATACAGTATCGGACAAAACAAGTGCAACCAAATAATGCTAATTTAGTTTCTTTATATAAAAGTGCTGCATTTTTTCAATTTAAAGAAATAACTGTTTAGAGACAATGTTCTTCAAGTTTTATTCATCACAAAGTTCATTATTTGTACACGAAAATTAATAAATTAATCAAAAGTATTAAAAAAAGTTGAGTTCTTTCTGGACAAAACAAGTGCAACTCCACAAAATGTTGACCAAGCCGTATTTCGCTATCAATATTTCGTGACGAATCCTTTGTTGTTGATCACAGCCTTGCATCTTCGAGGCATAGATTCGATCAGGTGATCAATGAAACTTTGTGGAATCGCTGCCCAGGCCTTTTGGATTTGTCCGAACAGTTAATCTTTATTACGAACACCTTCAAAATTAATTCTGCGATTTACGATCTGCCACAGGTTCTCGATAGGGTTAAGATCCGGAAATTGAGGCGCCCAATCTATCACTGATAGGTGGTTGTCTTGAAACCACTGCTTGACTACTTTTGCAGTGTGTTTCGGATTGTTGTTTTGCTGAAAAACCCATTTTATTGGCATATTCCATTCAGCATGAGGTAACATAACATCTTTCAGGATGTTTTTATACATGAAACGGTCCATTGTTCTATCAATTCGATGTATTGGGCCTAGACCGTTAGCAGAAAAAAACCTCCAGACCATTACATTGCCTTCACCATGCTTCACGGTCTTATGGCAGTAATGTAAATCGAGGCGTTTTCTGGCCGATCGACATACACGTCAAATGCCATCGTTCCCAATGATGTTGAACTTCGATTCATCACTAAACAGGACAGTTCACCATTTCTACACATTCTAGTCAATATGAGATGTAGCAAACAGGAGTCTTTTCTTCTGGTTCTTTAGTGAAATCAGCGGTTTCTTTGCAGGGCATCGAGAAAACAATCCAGCTTCAACAGCACGTCGTCTGATTGTTTGGTCCGATACAGGCAGCTCTAATTGCTTTTGTATCTCGACTGATGATATCCAGGGATCCTTCTTGATGGATCTGACAATCATAGAGTTCTCTCTAGAAGTGGTGGAACGCAGTCTTCCACCTTTGTTATCTGCTGCCAACTTCCCCGTAGAACGATATTTGGACCATAGTCTTGATACGGTCCATTTTTTACCGCGATATCACAAATATTTTTTGTGACATTCCACTTACATAATCGCCCATAATTTTCTTTCTTAATTCCAATCCAAGATTGTCGGAAGTCATTTTTGCACTTGAAGTCATAAAAATAATAAAAATAAATAATCATGTTTCTCAAGGCTTACCATGTTACATTTACCTTGTGATGATACAATAATGTTCTGTGGAACACAACATCTTAGTTGGATGTAGACTGTATTGATGTAATGAAACACTTGTTGTATTTCACTTCTTGTATTGATGTTCTTTGATAAAACATTTTGATAAAACTTACTTCGATAAACTATCTTGATAATACTGATTGATTGACTTCAATATACTGACTGAATTACATGTCGGTTTACATGTCTCTTATATAGTAAAATGAACCTGTGTGAACCTGTTCTGGAAGATTCTAGATGCTTCTTTTCGATGCTTCTGGAAGCTTCTGGATGTGTTTGAATGCTTCTGAATGTTTCTGGATACTTCTGGATGCTTCTGGATGCTTCCAGATGCTTCTTTTGGAAACTTCTGGAAGCTTCTGCATGCTTCTGGAAACTTCTGGATACTTCCTTTAATTATTAAAAAACTTCCGTGACGTTGACATGGACCAGACTTAAGAAAATGAAACAAACCATAAAAGTTGTACTTGTTTTGTCCGTTGCAAAATGGCACTTGTCAACAAAATTCTGCCTGTGTGCTGTCACCTGTCAGCTGATTGCTCATGTCATGGCATGCTATGACTCCAGACTCCTGAACTGTTTGCTGTGGTAGTATAGTTTGTTTCATTTTTAAGACATGTAAAATTAGGAACACTTTTTAGCATTGTTTGATGTTGGTTGCAAATGTTTTGTCCAATACTGTATATATATATATAGTAGCATCACAGGATCACTATTATTTCTTCTCTTTGTTTTTTATTTTATTTTTTCAATCACTAGATTGAGTAAGTAAAAAATAATAATAATAAAAGAGAAGAAGTTACTGAAGGTTTTTATTTGGAATGTTTTTTAAAATGAGAGACTTATTTCTCAAATGAGACTCGGTGTTTTCTTGGAACAGCTTGTATTTATATATGTATAGTTTTTTGAAAATGTGATAACAAAACCCAGTCAATGGTTGGCAAACATCACTGTTTTCAATTTCTTTATTTTTTTTGTTACAATATCAGAATGTTTATCACCATTAAAAATATAATTGTTAAAAATTTCTGCAAGTTATCAGTGCTTGCACATATTTTTATTTATGTTATTGGTTTTTCTAAAACTAGTTTGGATAGGTTTGTTCTTTCGCCAGTGTCCACTAATGTTTTTTTTATAAAAAAATTGCAGTTAAAAATTTATTGTTAGGGAATTGCACCATTTCAATTTAATTCTTCCTTTATTTTCAGACCTGAATCTGTATCATCCTTTACCTCAAAAGGTAAAAGAACAGCAAAAGTTTCTCCTTTATCAGGTAATTCTTTAAAGAAATAACTGGTGTGTTAAATAAACTTTTTATATTGTTGATTTTAAATATTTGAATACAAACTATTGATTAATAAAGAAATTTTAATAGAGTGTTACTCTTAATTACTTGTTAATTTTATCTATATTATAATTATCATATACATGCAGTTTATAAATTGTGTTTTAAACAAAGCTGTATATATTTTGGCAACTTTCTGTTATATATTTTTTTCCTGTCAGTTTATATACTATTCACATCAGTTTATCTTATGTACATATAATCTTTGTGTAACTTTCTGTTGTGTTTTTTATTCACATCAGTTTATCTTATGTACACATAATCTTTGTGTAACTTTCTGTTATGTTTTTTATTCACATCAGTTTATCTTATGTACACATAATCTTTGTGTAACTTTCTGTTATGTTTTTTATTCACATCAGTTTATCTTATGTACACATAGTCTATGTGTAACTTTCTGTTATGTTTTTTATTCACATCAGTTTATATTATGTACACATAATCTTTGTGTAACTTTTTGTTATGTTTTTTATTTACATCAGTTTATCTATGTACACATAATCTTTGTGTAACTTTCTGTTGTTTTTTTATTCACATCAGTTTATCTTATGTACATATAATCTTTGTGTAACTTTCTGTTATGTTTTTTATTCACATCAGTTTATCTTATGTACACATAATCTTTGTGTAACTTTCTGTTGTGTTTTTTATTCACATCAGTTTATCTTATGTACACATAGTCTTTGTGTAACTTTCTGTTATGTTTTTTATTCACATCAGTTTATATTATGTACACATAATCTTTGTGTAACTTTTTGTTATGTTTTTTATTCACATCAGTTTATCTTATGTACACATAATCTTTGTGTAACTTTCTGTTGTTTTTTTATTCACATCAGTTTATCTTATGTACACATAATCTTTGTCTAACTTCCGTGTATTTTTTGAAGCCAAAATCTACCATTATGGAGGGCAAATTTAAAAAATAGTAAATCACGGTTGTTCAGATCAAATAATATTCAATATTTAATATTCATAATTTATAAATCATGGTTAATGTTGTGCTGCAGCAGGTTGCACAAATAGAGCAATGAAAAACGACAACAGAGCATTTCATAAATTTCCAATTAATAATAGCGAACTCTGTGAAAAGTGGATTGTTGCTATAAAACGTGAAACATTTGTTCCTACTGAGCACATATGTAGTGATCACTTTTTACCTTCAGATTACAATATACCTGATTTTAATAACAAACCTAAATTAAAACTTTTTTCTGTGCCATCTACTATTATTGATTCAAAACCAAAAGTCAAAAGAAAGTTTAGTTCTATATTGTCACAAACAAATAAAAAGAGACTCATTTAAAGTTTCAGAAACTGGTAATCAACATCACATCGATTTCCATTTGGATATAAGTGATAACAATAATGTTGCTGCTAATAGTAACGAAATTTATATTAATAGTGTTATTTCAGAAACAACAGAGAGTATTGATTTCCAGGTGGATATAAACTAAAATTCTTAAACAAAAGTTGCGTCATAAAGAAAAAAAAATAAATACATTAAAGGTTATGCTAAAAAATCTAAGCAAAAAAAAATTAATTATGAAGATGCTGCTAATGTTCTTTGTGAAAACTTTATTGGATTGACTTTTGATATTATACAAAAATTAGTTTAAAAACATTACTTCACTTCCAAAAGCGCATAGGTATACTGATAAAATAAAATTTTTTGCAGTAACTCTGCATTTTTACTCACCTAAAGCATACAATTTTCTACGGCCTATACTCCATTTATCTGCTTCAAGCTCTTTAGCCAACTGGGCTTCTTCTGTAGATTGTGAACCTGGTTTTTTTTGAAGATGTTTTAAGTTATATTAGTATGAAAGCAGAGATTGACATTGATTATAGAGATTATGCATTAATTATGCAATGATAATCAAAACATCAGTTCTAAATGATAAAAAGTTGATTCATTGGCTTTACAGATTATGGAAAAGATATTGTTGCAATTGAACCAGATAGACCAGGTACAGAAGCATTAGTATTTATGCTGGTAGGATTACGAGGTCATTGGAAAACACCTATTGGCTATATACTGTGTAGTAAAATAACAGCTGAAAACCTTTCATGTCTTATAAAAAAATTAAGGTATGTAGCAATACATTTGATGGTGTAAATGTTAACTTTAATTCTGTTGAATCACTAGGATGTACATTTGGGAAAAGACTAGAAAAAATTAATAAACGATTTACTTTTGAAGGCTATTATCACTACTTGTATGTAATCCCTGACCCAAGTCATATGCTAAAATTAGCTAGAAATGTGTTATGTGATTTAGAGGTACTTAAGGATTGTGATGGAAAATACATTAAATGGAGTTATATAAAAGCTTTATATGAAATACAAGAAGAAGAAGGATTGAAATTTGCAAATAAAATCTTAATAAAACATATTTATTTCCAGCGTCACAAAATTAATATTAAGTTTGCTGCACAAACACTTAGTAGTTCAGTTGCAGATGCAATTGAATTTCTGATGTTTTCCAAACATCCAAACTTCAAGCATGCTGAAGGAACTATAAATTTTATAAGGGTCATTGACAAATTATTTGATATGCTGAACTCTAAAAATCTTTTTTCAAAGTCATATAAGAAAGCTCTTTTTTTAAATGATTATCCTTATTGGAATGCAACTTTTGATCAAATAATAAACTACTTGTCAAAGTTTACAGATGCTAATGGTACTCCATTATTAAAACATAGGAGAAAAACCTTTATATTAGGGTTAATTGTGGCTGCAAAAAGTCTTCAACACTTAGCCTATGAGCTTTTGACTTTAAATGTTCATCCTTTTAAATTTTTGCCTAACATACAAATTTTCGCAAGATCATCTTAAGTTACTGTTCTCTTGTATTTGTGGAATGAATGGATTTAGTAATAATCCATTCAATTAGATGTCATCCGACTTAAGTCATCTTTAAAAAGAATTCTTTTTGCACAATTCTATTGTAGGCTCAAAGCATGCAAATTGTTTAACAATTAAGGATATTGCAAATGACTCTATTTTTGCATTAAAGTGGAGTAAAAAATCTGCAATTTATTCAAATCCTGAAACAGATTTTTTAAACTTTGATATTGATATTGTTACAATTCAAAATTATTTTTGAATTGTAACAATATCAATATCAAAAAACCAAAAATGAATGCAGTGACAATTTCAAAAAACCAAAAATGAATGTGGAGCGAAACCTTAAACTGAAAATGATTTATGCAGTTAATAAAATTATTAGTGAAAAACATTTTTTTAAAGACCTAAATGAACACGATGCTGAGCATGAAACTGTCATCGAAGACATGCATTCCACACAACTAATAAAAATGTTAGCAACTGACTTTTTTACAATCAGAATGCAAAGATACGGCCAATTATATACAGAAAAAGTTTTAAGAAAATTAATGATTGGTCTACAACATCATAATATATATCATAAATATATAAAAGGATAATAAATTATTTAAAAATTTATTATATATATATATATATATATACATATATATATATATATATATACACATATATATATATATACATATATATATATATATATATATATATATATATATATATATATATATATATATACATATATATATATATGTATACATATATATATGTATATATATATATATATATATATATATATATATATATATATATATATATATATATATATATATATATATATATATATATATATATATATATATATATATATATATATATATATACACCTGAATAGGAGCTTTTTTTGTATTGAAAACCTTACTAAATTATAACATAACATTTAATTAAATTTATTTAATTGACAGTAAATCAATTATAGAAAAAAATAATAATGATTTTTATGAAAACAAGAAGTGTTTAACCATAAATAAAATTCTAACATTTCTAGAAGGAACCTCTAAGTTGTGTCACACAGAACTTAGTTAATAATCAGTTTTATAAAATGTTTCATTACAAGTTATAACTCTGTTTACCTTGCAGTTATGTTATAATACCTCCTAGCATTACTGTAGAGGGTAATTAATGACTAACAGGTGCATAAAATGTTAATAGATTAAAGATTAAAATCCAACTAAATCTAAGATTTTATTTGAATGTTAAATTTTAAAATCATACAAGTTTAAATTTTAAAATAAAAAAAAAAGAAATAAATATGATTTTGAAATGTTTAACAAAAACAATGCATATTTTACATAATTATTAAATTTTAAACTGAAAATCAAAATAACATCAAATTTTTCAAATATCTGTGTACCAATTTTTTATTGATTACATTTTTAAACAAATTTAAGCTTCGTATTTGTTTTGTTTTGATAAATAGCGTAGAGATTTTGCTTCCCCCCCCCTCATAATGGCCATTTTTTGCTTCACTTTTTCTTATACCGATTTATGGCAGTTAGACATCTAGTTATTCTTAAAATATCATTGGTCAGTTCATGCTTTGATTTCTTTTTAATTTGATTTTGGTTTTAATCTTCTTAAAACATTTCACAAATGTACAAACTAAATGATTGGAGTACAAGAAAAAATCTTTAAAAAATAATTTTTATTAATATTTGTTTTCATAAAATACCATTAAATAAAAAATTTTAAAAGAATTTTAAATTATAATAGCTAACTGCATATTTTTTTTGCTTAGAAATTTTATTAGTTTGTAAATTTTAAAAGCATGTTGTAATTATTTCAAAGAAAACGAAAATCAAGTTGATGCAATTTTTAAAGACTTGCCCAGCAATGAGTTGAAGGAGAAAGAAACAAGCATAGTTCCCACAAATAATACTTTTAAAGAAAAATCATCAATAATATCTGAAATTGAAAAAGCCTCTGATACAAAAGTAAATTTGCTTTAAAAAATATTTTTATTTGTAATATGATGTTTATTGGTTACAAAGTGAAGTTGCAAATTGTTTTGTTGTTTGCAAACTCACAACGCTTTTTCTCTCTACATATTCTTTTAAATAAAAATTATTTTCATGTTAGGTTGTCAAAAAAGAAGTGACTCCTCAAACTTTAAATAACCATGGTAATTTTTTTATTTTTTTAAAGTAATTTAACTAAGTTTTTAAATTTATTGCATAACCATGTTTTGTTTTTAAATTTATTGCATTACAAATTTTTTTTAGGAGTTAGTTCTTTAGTTTCTGTTGATGCAGTGTTGGCTCCTCCTCAGATATGTGGAGAGCAGGAAGCTTACATTCCGATCAGTTATGCAAAGCAATGTATCCAAAAGGTAGATTGCTTCTTATTGATATTTTTTCTTGTAACCACACTCTTACTCAATAATTAATTTGAAAATTGTCTCAGGTTGTTGATGATATGAAGAAAATGAAAGAAAATCACTATGTTGTTGTAGAGAAAATTCAACATCATTATAAATTAATTGAGGAAGACACTCAGGTTGTTTTTATTAATACTCTTAGATAAAACAGTTCACCTATTTAGATAAAATAATCTAACGACTTATTTTTGATAATAAATAATAAAAATAAATAAAATAGTTATCCTTTTTTTATTTAAACAATTTATCTACATTTTTGATAAACAATTCACTTTCTTCAATAAAGAATTTTTTCATTTAGTTTTTAAAAACAATAAGTATCTGCATTTCACATTTGAAGTAACCATAACAACCATAAACAAAGATATTACAAAGATAACCATAAACAAGGGAATTAGATATTTGCAAACACAGGGCTGTTCTTAGGATTTTGAGGCTTTAGGCGATACTATCAAATGGTCTGAAAACTTGAGGGATAAAACTCCAAATGAACCACACACCAATATCCTGTTGAAAAAGTGTTTTTAATAGGAGGAGGCGGGATAACTAGCCCTATCCATTCCTGCTAGGGGTTTTGAGGGAGTGCCGTTAGCTCCATCCACCAACAGTTTTAGAGCAAATTAAAAAAGCTCAAGAAAGCTCTTTGTCCCATCAACCTTGCCTTGCCAACAGCAATTCAGCCTCTCATGCTAGCACCATTATCATAGCTTTGCCCACTGATGTTAGCTATGGAAAATCCTAAGCTTCACAGTTGATCCTAAAATGTTTGAAAAATTCCATGATTTAACTATTTCATTTTTAATACTTTTAATATCAACATTTTCCCTAAATACAAGATTATTAGATATCCAAAAATTATCTGCTCTAGTACATTGTGCCAATGTTGTTTTTCTGCTTGAATCAATTTCAGATTTTCAGCATAATTTTCAAGTACCAATCACCTTGCATGCAAAACAAAAAAACAGCACAAAAAATCTGCACATTTTGAATATATAAGCCAGCATCTATCGACAAGTTCACAGTTACTAAATTTTCTAAATTAATCTTTTTTTGAATTTTCTACCTTAAATATCTCGCAAACTATTAATTTCTTGTCCTTCATTACTTAAAGTTCCTTTCTCATTATGTTTAGTTGCTGTTTAAAAACTATTTGACAATATTTCCTGTAACCCAACTTAATTCATTTCTTTTTGTATTAATGGTATCATGCGCATCATGCTCTGTTGTGACTGTTGCCTGTTAATACAGTCTCTGTTTCACTAGACTGTATTTCACAGACTGTGCTTACATTGGCAATGTTCCTGCATGTCTTGAACCACATCTATGTTTTCTATTTTTAGATTCTCTGTCATTTGCTTTTCCAATTTTGAGCTCCTGCTTTTGCATGACATGGTCAATAATGTTAAAAATTAGTAATTATGTATATACAGTTTGCTAAATGAAGCAACAGATAACTGCTTTTCAAAAAACACCAAATCTAATGTTTGTAAATAAAATCATAAAACTTTGACTTTCTTTAGAAGAAACTGAAATTTTAATATTATTTGCTTTCATATTTTATTTGCTTTAATACTTTATTTGCCTAATAATATTATTTCTTTAATATACTTTATATTATTATTGCTTTAATAAAAATTTGGTGTTCATCAATTGAACCTTTAAATGATTTGAATTTCCATCTCACTGATTATAAAATTATTTCATTAAAAGAAATTTTAAAAATGATTGTGTTTCTGGCATCGATAATTGTTATTATTCAAATATTTATCACTAGAATCAAAAGTATAAAAATAATATGACAATAGATCACAAGATCAGAGCTTATGATTAATAAATGACAATACATATTTAACAAACTTATTTTCAATTTTTTTTTACATTAAAAACAAAAAATTAAAAATACATAGGCTAACATAGCAAAGTATTAATTTTTAAAAAACCTTTTTTATTAAGTTTAGAATTCCTAACTTTACACCTTACTTGTGGAATGTTTTGTCTAATTTCGATTTGTTAATATCTCTATCTATTTAAAAAAAATAAGGTTAAAATTTATTTTTTTACTCAATAATACATTTTAGAGTAATAATAACACACTTAAATGAATTGAAGAGAATTTAAAGTCTATTAAGTCTGATATTTTTTAATTATAATTTTTGTCAATAATATCTTATTTCCCGTCAGATACCAAGTTTATTTAGTCTTTTTTTAATATAACTGTTTATACTTTAGTATGGCTAATAAATGTAAACCAATAATATATATATAATATATATATATATATATATATATATATATATATATATATATATATATATATATATATATATATATATATACGCTACCATTCATAATTATTCAAATAAAATAACTTTTTTTAAAAATGCTTTTTTTTATATAACTACTTTTTATGTTTATTTTTGCATTATTAGTCAATTTAAAAAACATAAAAATTAATTGAAATGCTTTGATAAAAATCATAAGAATAATAAAAAAGAAAAAAAACTACATAAAAAATGGACCATTAATGACTGTAAACGTGGACCATTAATGACTGTAAACGTGGACCAACGTATCAAAGTTTCAAATCTTTGATTACAGGAGAAGATTGTCTGAAAAAAAAAATCTTTGAATGAATGATAAAACATGGTGGATGTAGTGTTAAACTCTGGGACTGTTTTGGTTGGAATGCCACAGGTGACACATAAAAATAGAGGTAGTAATGACAAAATTAGTTTACTTGGATACTTTAAAAGTCATGCTATACTTTTACAAAGTTGGGTTAATGGAAATCCATTTATATATTTCAGGAAAAAATGATTTTAAGCTTAAATCCAAACTAAATTTTTCAGAACATTGTAATTATGTCTAAGTTCGAGAATGATAAAATATTGGAAAAAATGATTTAGCATCCCTAGTGACAAGATCTCTCCTATCAGATTTTATGGGAGGAATTAAAAGTAATGTCTAAAACTAAGGCCTAATGATACGTAAAATGTGGAAAAAATGAATTAGTTAATGGTATAAAATTAACTTCAACAAATTGATTAAATAATTAAGTAGAATGTTTATTACAAGATTATGTATGGTGGTTATTGTCACCAAGTGTAATTAATAGGAAAGTAAATTATAAACTATTTAATGGGAATTTATATTATTTTTTTATAAACCTAATAAATAGGAAAATAACATTTAATTCAAATAAATTTTCTCCCAATAGTAATTAAAACTTTGATATTTTATATTGAAAAGAACTTCTTTTCAAATAATTTTGGACAGTAGTATATATATATATATATATATATATATATATATATATATATATATATATATATATATATATATATATATATATATATATATATTATTTTGATATATTTATTCTTTGTAAATAAATTCATATTTTAATTTTTTATTGTATAAATTTCTTCTCTGAAATGCAATGTGTTTATTGTTGAAAAATGTCATATACTTCAGGTGCAATTCAATGACTACCTTAATAAATTACGAAATGAATATTCTCAAAAAGTAACTACTTTTAAGCAAGTGCTTGAATCTCACAATGCAGAATTTAAAGAACGGGAAAATTTTTACGAACAAGCTATAAAGGTACATAAATATTGTTTGAAATTTTTTGCATGATATTTTGTATTTTTGCAAAAAAATGCTAACATTGATAAATGTGTAAACATCATTTTAGAGTTTAAGAGATAAAAATCGCTATTTGATTGTTGAAAAACGAAACTTTTTATCAAAGTTTAAAGACTCAAATGCAATTAAAGAACGAGAAAAAGTTAGTTGCTTAATTAAATTTACCTTTTTTTAATTTTTTTATAATTATAGAAAAATACTCTTTTTTGCAGACTAGATAGCTTCTGAAAGATTTGACATTTTTTTTTCTTACAACATTAGACTTCTGACAGATTTGACGTTTAAATATTAAGCTCAGTTTCTGACAGATATGAATTTCTTTTCAAACATTAGACTCAACTTTTGGCAGATTTGACAACAATGCTGGATGATAAACACAAAGAGTATGTTAAATGTATGTTTTTTCTTTTTAACTGTTACCTGTTTTGTTCTTTTTTAAACTTAAATTTTTATTTTTCAATTTTTAATAATCAGTCAAATTAAAATTAACTTTTCAATTGCTATTTTAGTTTTTTGCCTTAACAAACAGCAAAAAAAATATTAAAAAAAACAAACAATAAACATCATTTGTATATCATAAAATTACAAAAAAAAAAAAAAATAATAAGCAAACAATAGAGCTAGGTATTTTAATAAGTATCTTAAGTTATTATTATACATTCTAAAGTGTTTATAAAAATTATTGACATAATACACACCAAGTATTTTGATAAGTATCTTTTATTAAACCTAAATCTTTGTATAAATTAATACTACACAATAATTTATTAAAAATTTTAGTTTTTTTAAATTTTTAGTGTATGAAAAATACAAGATAGAAGCAAAAGAAACAGAAACGCTTCAAATAGAAAATAATTGTTTGAAAAATGAGCTGCATTTATTGAAATCAAAACTAGATACAAATGAAACAGAGAACAAGAGAATCATTGAAGAACTTTCATTAACACAAAAGGAAAATAACAATAACAAACTCCAAATGGATATAAACAAAAAAGATGTTGAGCAAGTTGTTGAAGAAAAAATAAAATTGCTAGAGGAGATTAAAAAATTGCAAGGTGTTATTGTTAAACAAAGTTAGGAATTCTAATAGAATTTTCATAGAATCTTTGTTAAAAAAATGCAAAATAATAAAAGATTTATTGTTTTTTTTTTTTTTTTGTCTTACATATTATTTTACAAGAGATTTAATTATATTGTATATTCTATTACTGTATAAGTTTTACATAAAGTTACATTATAAATTCAAACAAGAAAATAAATTTTTTTATCAGGCAATCTTGAAGAAAAAGAGAAGGATATTTCTTCTAAAGATCAAGAACTAAAGTTACGGTATAATGGTTTTGAAGAAGAAAAAAAATTAAATATTCATGATTTTGAGAAAAAAAACCAAGTTCTTGAGCAAAAAATCAAAGAACAAAATGAAGCAATTAAAGAAATGTAAGCAATTTAAAAAAAAACACTTTGACATTTTTTATTTTGAAAAATTTAATGTTCAACTTTGCTGCACAATTTTGTTGATTCTTTTGTTAAGGGAAAAACAAATACTTAGTTTACAAAAGCAACATTCAGTTCTCACTGAAACAGTATCAAAACAACCCTCAGAAATCATAAGTGAAGCAGCATCTAAACAAACCACAGAAGTCATTAATGAAGTAACACCAAAGTCATCTATAGAAGTTGTCAAAGAAGTACCTCTAAGTCAATCAATAGAAGTACATAATGAAGAAAAACAAAGAGAAAAAATAGATATTTTACAACAGCAGCCTGTTGTTGGTTCAAGTATATTAACTTTTATACTTTTTTTTTTTAAATTTGCACTCCTACTTTTAGTCATTATTCTTTTGTTTATAGTTATAAATATTTTATAGTTATAATTATCAAATCTTTTTTATTATATTTAACTTTCCTTGGAGGTTTTATATTTCTAGCTGATGAATCACAATTTAATAATCTCTTGAATGAAATTGAATCTTTAAAAAGAACAATAAATGTGCTACAGTCAGAAAAATTAAATGTTAATCCTCCTTTAATTGAAAATGCAGATGTTAGTAAAATTTAATATTCAGTTAGTTTTTTTTTTTTTTTTTTTACTAATTATTGGTATAAATTATTATAATGATTATTTTTAAATATATGACAATAGAAATTAATCAATGAAATAGAAGATCTAAAGAAGTCTCTTGAACAGTCAATGCAAAACACAATTGAGTTGGAAAAAGAACACAACATGGCTATTGAGTCTTATAAAAAGCAAATTCACAGAGCAGATAAAAAGTTGCAAAAACTACAACAAGAGAAAGAAAGTATAGAACAGCTAAAAAATGATATTGAAAGTCAATTAAAAGTTACTAAAGAAATGACAAATAATGAATTGAGCATTAAAAATGATGTATGTCTTTTTTTTTTTTTGTTGATAAATTTGTTTTTTGTTTTGAAAATATATTTTGAATCTCATTAAAAGTTTTACTTATTTTTTATTATTTTTTTAATTGTATTTTTTTAAGTAAATTTTTTTGAGAATTTTTCAAATGAATGTTTTTTTGCATGAATATTTGTTGTAAGAATCTGATAAAAGTGCTGTTGTTGCAGTAGTATTTACATGTAAAGTGATTATTTCAAGTCTTTTAAAAGGTTGATTGTTGCAAGAGTGTCAACTTGTTCCTCCACACAGCAGCCTTGTTTATCAAGGTTCATGTTTTGGAGTTATAGAGTTGAGAGGGGGTTGTAACCACAACTAAAGTAGTCTCCTCTACTGTAGTGACCTTCTCATCTTTGGGGAAGTAAATTAACATAAAGAAAAAAAAGCAAGAATATTTTCTTGAAGAGTTTAAATTTTAAGAGTGTGTTGAAAGAATTGTTGTATTTCTTAAAGAGTATTTTTTCCAAAAGACTTTTAAGAAGGCACATGTATTTTGTAAGGGTGTATTTTGTATGTTGTAAGGGTGCATGTTGTATGTTGTAAAGGTGTATACTATATGTTGTGAAATTCAATGTTGTAAAAATTTTTTATTTAGCTTATTCAAGAGCTTAAAAAAGAAATTGATAAACTGAATGAAGAAAAAATTTCAAAATTACCAGTTAAGGCAAAAGCTGAGATTCAATTATTACAGACCAAACTGGTAAAACTGTTTTTTAATTTAGTTTTTTAATTAAATATTTTCTTAAAAGCGATTTAATTTCAACTCTTAATTTTTTTGTTAGAAAGAAATTGAAAATCAGTTGGAAGAAAAAAATAAACAATCTGTTGATGAAAATTCAAAGCAGTTAGATTTTACTGAAAAAATAAATAATTTAAATTTGATTATTGATGAGCTCAAAAAGAAACAGGTTTTTATCTTTTTTTTTAGTTTGTAAAATGTGTGATTATTTTACATAATTTACTATAATTATGTGTTAATCTATTTGTTAACACATAATAATTATTATAATGAAGTTTAATAATTATAAAACTTTTAGGCTGAATTACCAAAACTCTATGAAAATGAGCGAAAGTATAAAGAATTGAAAAAAAAATACAAAGCCCTAGAAGAGAAAAAAACAGTTATAAAAACTGTCCCTACTAAAGATTCTACAATAGATTCTCCAGACAAAAATGACACTGAGAAAGAAGATCTAAAAAAAAAAGTATTTTTCTGTTAATTAATATTTTATTACTTTTGTTATTGACTTTATAGTTTCTATAAAGATCAAAAAGATCTACAAATACAGTTAAACTCATGTAATTTGAATCCTTAAAAGGTCTCAAAATATGTTCTAATTACATGAGTTTTGAGTTATAGAAGTTTAATTCTAAATATTAAACCCTGAAGGGATCAAAGAATTTATTTTTTATTTAAATGATCTTTTGAATAAAGTTATAATTACAAGAGTTTAATTGTAAGTAATAAATGTTCATCAATAACATCCTTCATATACATTTACAAGTTGATTAAATTGAGTAATCAATAAACATTGTACTTGTTATCATTACCATCATTGATTATATCAATGTGTTGAACTTGCTGGGAAACAAATCTACAACTTCAATACCTTCAGCATAGTTGAAATAAATACTTTAAAATAAAAAATAATAAATCTTTTGTAGTAAACATTTAAAAAACATTTGGTAATCACTACATATAAGATTTGATATTTTTTGTTGAAACTGTAAAAACCAACCATATTGTTTTTTGACAAACTGGTTATAATTTTTTAAAATACAGCTCAAGTAAGTTTAAATTGATTCAGCATTTAAGGATATTTATTGAAGTCATTAAAAACAAAATTTTTAATGATTTAATCACTTAACTCTATTAATTAAGTTATTACAAATCTTCAGTAATTAAGTTATTACCAAGTCATAAACTTGACTATTGATGACTAAACTTGATTGATGACTAAAAATGTGCATAATTTTATTACTTAATTTTATTACTTAATTTATTTTTTAAGTATAATAAGTACTGATTATTTAATTATTTAATTAGTACTGATAAGCAATGTTTAATGCAATATCTATAGTTTTTTTTGTTGTTGCACAAAAAAGTAAAGTTTTGTTGAACTGATAAACGAATATAGTTTGATGCTAATCCATGTTATTTTAGTTGTTGCAATGTAACTTATATTCAAGTAGTTTAGATTAAATAAGATTTAATCATGAAACATTATGCATGAGTATATTCAGTAGGGTTAAGGCATTTTCATTTTTTTTTTTTATTCTAACACAGTACTAGCACTAGATGATGAGAAATAGTGTTAATATGAGATAGTACTTTTTTGCTTTTTTTTTTAACAAAAACCTCACCCAGGACACAGATCGAAATATTTCGTTAGAAGTGCCGCACTATAGAAACAAATAAATTTTATTTTTTTGGAAAATATTATTTTTCTGTGAATATATGCTCTTTGGTGTATTATCTGTTTCCGCTTTCAGTAAAATTTCATATATGAAGCATCAAGAAGATGTTGGATGGCTTATCTAGGATGTCAGAAGAAATCACAATTATTGGAAGGCATCAATTTCTTTAAAAAAATGAAAAACCAAGAAATGTTAGAATTTAAGTGATAGCTGATGAATTGAAGAAATTGTAGGAAAAGTTAAATTTTCTACTCATAACAGAAAAAAATATAACTTTTTGAAATATCATCAGGAATCAAGTTAAATGTGCTGTGTTTGATATTACAGAAATAGATGGCATCTGGTTGGCATCTGGTTGGCAACTGATGATAAAAGATTTTATGAAATGCAGATTAAATCACAAGAAAAAGTTGCTATGCAACAACAATAAAAGTTAAAGTGGGTCCGTCAAAGGCTGACAGAGGAAATACCTCAAGCAGTAGTGCATGTTATTTTTCTTCTTCAAATAAAAATGTAGTATCTGAAATTGCTTCCAATTCAGAAACTATTCAGAAACTTCTGATGATTATACTAATGACTGTGAATATACTGTTGAACCCCCTGCTAAAATAAGAAAAACTAAGCAATATTCCACTACAGAAATTGCAGTTTATCTGGTAAAACAGACTAAATCCCTCTATATCAGCAATAGTTTGTAAACATTTATCTGACCGATGTATTAATATCTCTACACCAATTTTAATTCCAACACAGCACTAGCACTAGATGATGAGAAATAGTGTTAATATGAGATAGTCATTTTTGCTTTTTCTTTAACAAAAACCTCACCTAAGACACAGATTGAAATATTTTGTTAGGAATGCCGCATTATAGAAACAATCATCTGTTAGATATTCACAGAAAATGCAGCAGAATTGTAAAGAAACTTTTAGAAATGAAAATCAGGCTCTGCATTTTGATGGTAAGATAGTTAACAATTAAGAAATACAAGTTATTGTATTAAAAAATTAGCACTGTGAAGTTTGCTTAGCAGCACTAACTCTTAGTGTTGGAAAAGCATCAGCAATATTTAATAACTGAGGTGTTAGACCATCTGTGGTATCTGTGGATACCACAAGTGTAAATACTGGAGTGAGAAACCTAGTTGTTGAACTGATCCAACATAAGTTTAAAGAAAAAGGCTTTCCTATACCTTAGCATATAGGATGTCAACATCGTGTATTGGATTTAGTCCTAAAGCATTCAGTTGACTAAATTCTTAGTAGAAAGACCTTACCTCCCTATGATTTTGTGCAAGAAATTAGTGACATTTATGCAAATCTAAGAAACTACCTTTGACAAAGTGATGTAAAAATAAAATTTAAAAACATTAAATGGTGTGACAATATGCAGTTTTTATATTAATTAGGAAATGCGTACCGATTCTACCAAGAACATGGGTTATTTCCCTTCATTACTTTTAAAGCATTAACTAATATAAGCTATGCAAGGTGGAACTCAATATATGTCTTACTTGCTTTTCTGTTACTTTCAGACCGACGTGAACTACTTGTTTTGTTCAGTGGTCATTTTTACAAAGAAGATAATTATTATTCAAATACAAATAAGTAACATTTGTGTCAAAAGAGCTATTAAATTAATGCAAGTAAAGTTTAAAAGTGATGAAAAAATCAATTTGAAGTTTATTTTATCAAACAAGTGCTTGTATTTTATTATATTATTGAATAACTATCTCTAAATTGTGTTTTATATTATAGTTATAAATAAAAATTTATTCTAATTTAAATAAGTTGCAATATTTCCAAAACAGTTTTTTTAGGTCCTGGGTGATGTTTTTGAACTAATATCATAAATGAATTTTAGTTTTTTTATGCAAAAACTCGTTTTACAGAACCATGGCCATATAAGGTTGCAAAAATGTCATAATCTTAAGGTCCAAGTTGCATTAAGCCACACATGTATGTCTCAGTTGCATCAAATACCTTTTATAATTTTTTTCATACCATTTGTCACAAAAGGTTCATATATTAATACCTGTGTCATATGTATCACACATAAATGTCTCGCTTTTAAGACATGTCACTCATGAATATTTCATTTGGTACACATGTCACAGTTAAACGTCTCACTTGTAGCACATATCTTACATGAATGTCTTGATTGTTACATATGTCTCACATAAGTTTTTCACTTGTAACACATATCATGCATGAGTGTCTCCATTGTTCCATATGTCTTGCATAAATGTCTCACTTGTAACACATATCACGCATGAATGTCTCACCTTTTAGTACTAGCACTTTTTATAATAACATTTTAATAAATTGTTTATTTATAATATTATTTATTATAATATCTTGAATCTTTTTCATGAAAAAGAAGTTGTGTTCATTTTATTTTTTAATTTGTAATCATTTTATTAAAATTAAAAGTGAAATGATGAGTTTTTAAATTTTAGATTGAAGTTTTAGAAAAGATGTTGGAAAATTCCCAAAATGATGCATCTAAAAAGGTAAAATCGTTTTTAATTATATTTGTTTAAAATTAAATTAAAAAAAAAAAATTATTTAATATATAAAGTGGTGTGAAGTATAATGACTAATCTGCCATTCAAACATCTACTAAATGCATCAGTAATTCAATAAATGTGATGTTAATTTTCTTATTTCTGTCTAATATCTTGTTTTTTGTTCTAAGTATATTCAAAAATTCAAAATAACTTGTTTTGTGTTCGAACTTCTCAAGTCCAAAAATTTTAAAAATTACTACAGCTTTTTATCTCAACTCCTTTATGTTGCAAATTAATTGAAACACTATAAAGATTAAAAAAATTTTAACAAATAAGAAAATGATTAAAAGAAAGAAAAAAATCTGAAGTTTTATGAATCAGAAAGACATGAACATGAAGAGAGAATTTTAAAGCATATTTTTTACTGGAAAAATCTAGACGAATAGTTTTCACCAAATAGAAATAGTTAGACTGTTAAAAGATAAAGTTTAAATAAATGAAACATCACACTAGAAGAATGAATGAAACATGACAAAGAAGTTTTTCTAAGTAGAAAAACTTCTTTGTGATATTTTTATAAGTATAATAAGTAATGATTATAATAGGTCTTATTATTTGTGAGGACATATTTTTTTCCTAGAATAGGCCCTGATATATATATATATATATATATATATATATATATATATATATATATATATATATATATATATATATATATATATATATATATATATATATATATATATAATATATATATATATATATATATATATATATATATATATATATATATATATATATATATATATATATATATATATATATATATATATATAATTTTGCAATTTATTTAGTTTTGGTTTTCCATTAGGTTTAGAAGTTACAGGAAATAAAGAAGTTTATATATATATATATATATATATATATATATATATATATATATATATATATATATATATATATATATATATATATATATATATATATATATATATATATAATTTTGCAATTTATTTAGTTTTGGTTTTCCATTAGGTTTAGAAGTTACAGGAAATAAAGAAGTTTATATATATATATATATATATATATATATATATATATATATATATATATATATATATATATGTATATATATAAATATATATATATATTTATATATATATATATATATATTATATATATATATATATATATATATTTATATATATATATTATATATATATATATATATATATATATTTATATATATTATTTTTAGTTGAATTTTTGTTTATGTAGTTTATTATGTACAAATACTATAAATAAGACACTATTTTCTCATATAAGTCTCAGACAGGTCATAAAAATACAAAAAAAAAAAAAAAAAAGTTTTACATCTATTTTAAAACAACAGATTTCAAAGAAGATGCTGAAGGTCAAAACAGAATATTTATTTTTAAAAAAACTTTAATTTTCTAGTTGTAAAATAATTTTTGTCTTTCAGCAGGAAATAAATGAATACTTTTTTTGTCTTGATAAATAATTCCTTTATTAGATATATTTTCATAACATTTAGGAACTTACTATTAATTTACAGGACTCAAAAGTTGAAAATAAAGTTGATAGTAAAGCAAATGTTAAACTTGAAAAAGCAAATGAGATGTTGAAAGAAAAGTTGGAAAGTTTTAAAAAATCAGCTCAGGTAATTAATTATTTATTATTATTTTTTTTAATGATAAGTATTTTAAATATGAGTTTTAACCCAGCAAGCAAAAAGATACCTAAAATGCATCTAATATGCATCTAAAAACAGGTCTAAAAGATGTCTAAATTTGTGTCAAGTACAAGCTCTAGACATTTATCTTATAGATATTTATCTTATAGATATTTAGATAGACGTTTATCTTATAAATGTCTTTTAGATGCATTTTGTTAAAACAAATTAATGCCTTAGATGCATAAAAGATATACATCAAAAAAATGTATTTGTAGATGTGATTTGTGTCAAATAAAATGCAATTTAAAAAACATCTACAAGATCGACATTTACTTAGAGCTCGTTTGTAAATTTAGATGTCTTTAAGTTTTTGGATCGAATGAATGCATTGCTTTTAAACTATTGCATAATTCTAAAAATTTGTTTACATGAAATATTTACATGTTATTTAAATTAATAATAAATAAATATAAATTGCTCGTCTTGCTTCAAAATTGAAAAAAATATCAAAGATATGAGTTATGATAAGATTTTCTGGTGCATAGTAAGCTGAATTAAATATTTTTTACTATCAAGGTAAAAACTTTTCTTATTAACACAATGCTAGTTTAACCCGGGTACCTGGGTATATTTGTGCTTGGCCCCCAATAAATGGGGACCCAGAAAGGGCCCCCAATTTTTCAAAGGTATATGTTACAGCAGTTGTGGTCCTGCGGCTCTGTTTTGCTGCATTCATTTTTTAATATATTTTTAGAAGGATGAGGTCCCAAATATTTTCTGCATCCGACCCCTAAGATCCTTATTCTGGCCTTGTGTTTACATGCTACAGTTAATTACAACTAATTATAATGTATAGTTTAATGTGTTAATGTAAAGTTTAACGTGTAAATGTGTTAAATAAATGTGACTTAATAATAAAAATAATGTTTTGTTTTTTATTACATATTAGTTTAATTTTGATTATAAAGCATACTGTGTAATAAATAAAGCATGAATCTTCCATTTTATTCACATGAATCTGTCTATATGAAAATATTTAAAAGTACTTAACATAGTTTAATTTAATATAATGTAAACAAGATAGAGCCCAAAATTCTTATTTTGGGATATTAAACATATTTAATATCCCAAAATAAGAATTTTGGGCTCTATTAGATAGAAGATATTAAACATATTTAATACAAATATTGATGATGTACATATATTTTTATTGTGGTTGTTAAGGTGCTCCCAGAAGTCATTACAGTCTTATCACAGGTAACTGCAGAAGAGTATTTAACTACAAAGTTCACCTTCCTTACCAATGTTGCAGGATCAAGCCGGCATCAAACCTTAAACATTTTTGTTCTGAGCCAGAACTCTAACCAGTGTGCCTTGATAAATTTAATAGTAACATATTAAATGTTAAACACTTATAAACAACGTTAAACACTCCATATGTTTACTAGGATTTCTTTTTTCATTTAACTTTTTTGATTTAAAAATAACATGAGAAGTATTTATACAATAAACTGACATGGATTTGAATATATGAATGAAGTGTCATATTTGAATATATAAATGAAGTTCCATATATTTGTACATACGAAATATGAAAAAAACTGACAATGATGTATGGAAAAACTGACAATGATATTTATGTGGCCTATAATTGTATAATTCAAACTTAAATACTGGTAAATTATTGTTAAAAGTATACCAAACTTTTATACAAGTTAAAATGAAATAAAATATTGGTTGTTTTATTTTAATCAAATTGCTGATGAATAATGAAATTATTGTCATTACCTTTTCATAATCATGAAATATGCTCTCTTGGTTTCCCATCACCAACTTTAATCAAACTATCAAGCTAAAACTTCAATCAATCTATCAAGCTAAAACTTCAATCAAACTATTAAGAAGTTTTTAGAAGTTAAAATTAATATAAAAAAAGTAATATTTACAACTGAGCAACTTAGATATACTTTCATTAAAAAAACAACAACATCAAAATAACCCAAATGATAACTTTTTTCTAATTAAAATATACAAATCATACCAATTTAGTGTATTCTGTTTTGTCATTTAATTTATTATCAAGTGCAACTACATTATCCACTATTTCCAGTATCCAGCAGTTTCAACGCGGTTGCATGAAACCTTATCTTTACAATCTCTTTTTAAAATAGTTTTTACTTCAATCAGCTCCTTGAGATGTTGTATCTCAATAAAAACTGTGTGAAAAAAGTTACTTTAAATTCAATATTAAATTCAATATTTAAATTCATCTTTAAATTCAATATTTAGCTCAAGAAATTAAATAGCATAAAATCCTTTTATTTGTAAGATTCAGGGTTTGTTGAGGTACATACACCAACATAATATTAATGCAAATTGTTCAAAGTACATTACACTGTGATACATTGCAATGGTTACAATAATACATAGTGGTGATATGAATCTGAATGTGGATGGTACTATAGGACCCTAAATTGTTTTATTTTAGAAAGAATGATTCATATTTATTATACTTGAACACCTCGTTTGAATAAGACCATTTGATTCCCACTACATCCATGGTACTACAGTTTTTTTTTCAAAAAAAAAGGTGAGATTAATGTTTAAAAAAAATGTGGGATTAAGGTCAAATTAGCAAAGACAAGGTTTCAAACTTCAAACATAAAAGAAGAGTATAGTTTCGACTGAGATGTTTTAAAAGGATTTAAGTTTCGGCTGAGATGTTTTAAAAGTTTTTAAAAAATATTTTCTAGAATCAGAGTAAAAATTTTCAGCTTTTCCTACAAATTTTTTATAAGAGAATAAGCTTCCATATAAGAGAATAAGCTTCCATATAAGAGATTTTAAAATTTAAAGTTTTTTTTTTTAAATTTCTTATCATGGTAATATTTAACTATAACAAGCAAAAATACAAACAACAAAATTTAGTTCTTATTTTAACAGGGTAATATTCAACTTTAACAAGCTTTTTTGCACTTTAAATCAAATAGTTTTGAAAGTGATTAGTATGAAGAAAAACATCTTATTTCTCACTTTAAGTAAAACCTCATACTCTTTACTAAAATAAAATATCAATAACTTTGTAATGACCCAGATCCTGCAACATACATCATTTCTTGCAAAATAAACATAAAAATACCCTATTTTATCTTTGTTTAGGAATAATTTAAGTAGTTAACCAACATTTGAACTAAAATTGAGGTCTCCAACATAGAGCAGCTAAAACAGAATCAAATTATTCCGAATTATCAAAATCTGCATCAGAAAACGTAGTTTTAAAATTATTTTATGCATTTTCAGTCTGGTCACTTCAAAAAGTTTGTTATTTTACAAAATCTATAGATAACAACCCATATTTCAAAAACAAATATTATGACTATAGTTGCATAAAGTTTTATTAGCAACATTTTTTATTTTCAATATATTTAACACAAAATAATTCTTTAAGATACTTGGTTTTAATGACAGGTGTGTGTCATAGAAAAAATCTTTATGTGTTACTCACAGAAAAGATCTCTGTAATGAGTGTTTATAGGGTAGAAAAGTAACTAAGTAAAAAATTTTTTTTTAATTTACAGCTTTAGTTATTCATTAATTTATTTGACTAATTTCATTGTTAGGCTGATGCAGATAAAATCAAAGAGTTAGAAAAAGCTGTTAAAGATGCAAAGGCAGCAGGCAACGATGTATTATACCATCTTTTAATTTTTTCTTTCAAATTTTGTTTATATTTTGATTATTTATTATCATATACTATATTCATTTTTTCAGAAAAATTCCAAAAAACAAGAAAAAGCACTTAAAGGTATTTTTTTTTTCAATTATGAATGAAAGTTATTTAAAACTTCAAATTTTAAAAATAGATTTGAACTTTTTTTATCAATAAGATCTTCAGGCAAAGATGGAATTGGAGCAAAAAAGAGCAAATAAAAATAAAGAAGATCTTGATAAAGAGAAAGAAGAAAATAACAACTTGAAGAAGGTAAAAATTTTTTTACTTCAAAAAAAACTTAACTTTATTGCATTTATAAATTTTTATTTGGTAAACAATAGTTTTATAGTTTTTTAATTTTAATTTTGTTTAATTTACAACAAAAGTGAGAACTTTTTCAAACAACAAAATAAGACCATATAATCTTTTTGTTATTCAAGGAAATTGAAAATCTTGAAAATACAATTTTAAAAGAGAAAGCTGAAATAGCTAAGCTAGCAGTTGCTGCAAAAGAAGGTGTGGAAGCCATTGAAAAAGTTTCTGAACTTTCAAAGTCCAATAAACTACTAATAGAAGAAAATAAGACATTGGTTGAAAACTTCAACAGTGAAAGGGTAAAATCTTATTTCATAAAAATTTTTGTTAATGTTTAATTTTAAACTTCATAATTCTAATTTCTGATTAGGTTCTTCGTAAAAAATATTACAATATGGTTGAAGATATGAAAGGAAAAATTCGTGTGTATGCAAGAGCTCGACCATTGAGTCGTTCTGAATTAGAACGAGTTAGTTTTTACATTTTTTTTGAATTTTTTAAAATACTTTTTCAATTTACATTACATTCAATTTTACATTGACTCTAGGGTAATTATGACATAACTCAATCTCCTGATGAATATTCCATTATTATTCAAACACCTCGTGGTCCAAAGGACTTTCAGTATGATGCTGTTTTTCCACCTGGTACTCCACAAGAAAAAGTATTTGAAGATACCAATGTAAGTTTTTGAAGATACTAATTTAAGTTTTTGAAGGTACTAGTGTATTTTTTTTAAGATAATAATCTAATAAAGTTTGTAAACTTTTGATATTTTATTTGATTACCTTGTATTTAAAGAATTTGATTCAATCAGCTGTCGATGGTTATAATGTATGTATTTTTGCATATGGACAAACTGGTTCTGGAAAAACATTTACAATGATTGGTGATAAAGAACAAAAGTTTCCAGGAATTGCACCTCGGTCTTTTCAAGCTATTTATGCGCTCATTAATGAAAATAAGTAAGTTTGTTTATCAATGTTACTCAACTGTAATTTTTTTTTAAATTTAAAAAACAAGTTTTCTTTTAAAACTTTTATGTTGCAGTTATACCAACACAATCTTTATATTTTTTGTTGTTGTAGAAAGAAGTTTTCTTTTAAAACGTATATGTACATGTTAGAGCTGTACAGAGATAATCTAATTGATTTGTTTTCAACCACAAGAGATCCTGACAAGTTAGACATAAAAAAGGATAAGAAGGTTTTTATAAAGTTTTTCCTCTTGTGTGTGTATTTTTTTCCTTTTGTGTGTTTATTTTATTCCTTTTGTGCATGTATTTTGTTCCTTGTGTGCATGTATTTTGTTCCTTTTGTGCATGTATTTTGTTCCTTTGGTACATGTATTTGGTTCCTTTTGTGCTTGTATTTTGGTACTTTGGTACATGTATTTTGTTCTTTTTGTACATGTATTTTGTTACTTTGGTACATGTATTTTTTTCCTTTTGTACATGTATTTTTTTCCATTTGTACATGTATTTTGTTCTTGGAAATTCTACATAGTACTATGAATTGTATACATAATGCAAAATTTGTAATTTTATGTTTGTAGTTTTCTAACTTTTAATTTAACAGGGTGGCCTAGATAAATTATAATTAAAAAAATTTTAAGGTTGTTTTATAAATACTTAATTAAAATTAAAACCACCAATCAACCAACCAGACAAAATCAAATTTTAAATACACATTTTTAAATGTTTAATTTACAAATGCTCCAAATTTACAAATTTACAACTTACAAATGCTCCAAAAAATGTTTGCAAATGCACTAATCTTTAACTGTTACAAAAATTAGATCATAATATATAGTTTATCCAATCTCATTATATTGCAAGTCAGCAAAAAGATTAGCATCACTTACACAGGTACTCTGCAAGTTAGACTCCATAACAAACTGAGCAAACTTGTATCAACTCCATAACAACTGAGTAGCAAGCTGTGGAAGTTAGAGCCAATTGATGCAGTGCACTAAAGTTCATCTTACTTGACATAAATGATGTATTTGACTGTAATGCTTAGCTTTAGAAATTCGCTGATAACATCCTTGCATACATTGTCAAAGACCTATCCCACTAAGCTTTACAAAAAGATAATTGTGACGAATTTAATACCTGGTGGATCTAAACTCAAATGTCATTGAACCAAATGCAAAATCATGAGCATTCCAAGTAACAAATATGACATATACCACCAGTCGTTACAATTTACTCCAAAGTACTTGAATATCCCAGATAGCACATAGACATTGGACCGATGTGGGATCAATGTCAAAAAAATTGTTGGCCGATGGTCAGGAACTGATGTTGCCACAACGTGGATTTGGCAGTTGGCAGGGCGTTGCAGCCAACCATTAGGCTAACGTTGGTCCAACATTGGATAAGCGTCGCATTCTAGCGTTGGTCCAACGTAATATTATTATTTGTAAGAATTTTTATAATTTTGATTTAAAAGGTAAGCACATACTTACTATTTCTTATATAATGTTTATTAAAACTATTTCATTGATTTTTTTTGTCCAAATAAGTTTAAATAAATTTTTTCATCATAAACGAAAATTGATTTCTTACGAATTAGGTCTAAATTCTTTACAAATCTCGAGTCTTTAATTTGCTTGAGAGGAATCTTATTGAGAAATTGATGTTTGAACTACTCATTATACAGCTTGATAGAAATCTCAGAAATCTTTTGTTTGAAGAGCTTTTAAGCAATGCCATAACTACTGTTAAAATTATAAGTATAATTATATATATATATATATATATATATATATATATATATATATATATATATATATATATATATATATATATATATATATATAAAATAAAAGTAAAAAATAGTACACAAATCAGCAAAGTTTTTTGTACAATTTAAATATAATCTACATCTATAAGAAATAACAAAATTATGTAAAATGTATGTATATAATATTATATACAATAAATTTAAAAAATCATAAAATCAAAATGATTTATTACCTGCATACACACTGAGACAAAGAATCACTACATTTTTTCAAATCATATCTAAACAGAAAATTCTTGATTAATAGTATCAGTATTTCACTACAAACAAAAGAGTTAACTTGCATCAAAATTCTTTTATACAAATATTAGTAGAAATCAAACTGAAAAAAGTCTTTCTGAGTATGTTGTGAAATCATGTTCATTAAGAGCATTGTCATAATGATTATTATTACCTCAAACAGGAAAATTTTCTTTTGCATTGAGATTATCACTCTTATATACATTGTCGCCATAACAAACACTTCAACAATCATTAGAAACATTACTGGTAGACAAATTATTTTTCTGATTAAAAATATCAATATAAATTTCTTTTATATCTATTAACTAGCTTTATAACTCTTTTTCTTTTTGTTCTTTTTGAAGCAGCCATCTAAATTATGAGTGGAATAAACCTTAGAGTATCAGTTGCAACATTATGTATATTTTTAATAGCCTAATTTTATTATTCAATACTA